AAAAAAAAATACAAAGTTATACGTTGAAACAGTGCAATAGATAGAAGTTTTCTTTCGGAATTAAAAGTAACACATACCTGACGTCCTGATTTTGTAAACGCTCAAATGTTTTGAATTCAGATAATCGTCACAAGCAATTGACAAATGCTAGTTACACCAATATCGGTGTCTCAAATTTTTGATAAATGTGAAATTGTAGGGGTACCTAGACAGAAAACACAAGGTGAATTTTTTATGACACCTTCCGGATTTCTCCATGTGAATGGGTGCTTAAAGGCGGTATCGTTCTTCCGTATCTCTACACCTGTAACATTTTTGTGTATTTTTCAAAGCCGATCATGAGCTAATGTGCTTACTCGTCCTGATTATTTGCCTCGAGATACCATTAAAATCAGAACGTGATTTGACACTGTCATAGATTCGAAATATTCGTGCCAACCGGTGTTGCGCAGGCTTTTGTACGTTGGTAATTCCTTCATCCGCTCAATTTGAGCTTGCCTGACTAGCATTCGTTGGTCCAATATTCTGAATCGAAATTTTTAGATGTGATACGAGATTGTGATGTTTACCTTTATTATCAAAACGTGCTTTTTATATACACTTAAACATATTTGTAAGGATTCATGATGCCCTTCGGGTCGTATGCGTTTTTGACCTGCTTGATCATTTCAATTTCAATGGGGGTCTTCGAGTAACCAATGTAATTCTTCTTTTGGAAACCCAAACCATGTTCAGCAGAAACAGACCCACCAACCCCGTGAATCCATTCATACACAAAGGGCTCGAGAACCTTTTCAATGTCCTTGGAGTATTCCCTCACGGCAACATTCAAATGAAGATTGCCGTCCCCAACATGCCCATAGCCGAATGCTTGTACCACAGGCTTAGATTCGTCATCCATGTCAACAATACCTGCTTTCTCCAATTCGCTTTGAGTGGCTTCAACCAAACCATACAAATCTTTGAGCGGCAAGCTGACATCGTACTTATAGACACCACCGCCGATAGTCAGAGCCTCAGGAACCAGCTCTCTCCAAGCCCATAACAGCTTTACTTGGGCTTCATCTTGAGCAATGATACCATCAAGAACAAGACCATCTTCCATAGCTTGGCCCAAGAAGTTTTCGAGCTTCTCGTCGTCATGGTCTTTATTCAGACCCAGCGTCTCAATAAGAATGTAAAAAGGATACTCACCTTCGATGGGGTGGTCCAATTTGAGGTGACGATGAGTGAGTTCCTGAGATTGGCGATCCATAAATTCAAAGGCCGACAACACCTCGCCGAGCTCCCGGCGGGCGGCCACAAACACTTGCTGAACAGCTTCATAAGAGTCGACAGCCAAAAGGGCAACATTAAAAGCTGTGGGACGAGCAGGACACAAGATCAGGACACCAGTGATGATGCCGATGGTACCTTCAGAACCAATAAACAATTGCTTAAGATCGTAACCAGTGTTGTCTTTTCTCAACAGGTGCATCGAGTTGTATACAGTGCCATCAGGCATGACACATTCCAAACCCAAGACCAGCCCATGGAGTGAACCGTAACGCAACAAACGCAAGCCACCAGCATTTGTAGCCACAACGCCGCCAACTTGACACAGGCCTTTGGCCCCCAAATCAAGGGGGAAAATGTAGCCCTTTTCAGCCAAATACTGGTCTGCAGTTTCCAAGACGACACCAGCATCGCACTTGAAAATCCCCAGCACATCGTCGAAGCTGCGGATTTGGTTCATCAGCAGCATGCACACGATTACTTCATCAAAGATAGGGTTAGATCCTCCGACAAGCCCAGTGTTACCACCTTGAGGACAGACAGCCAACAGTTGGTCATTGCAGTACTTGAGAATCTGCGAGACTTGTTCAGTTGTCTTGGGCTTGAGAACTAATTGCGATTGTCCCCGGTATTTACGCATCCAGTCTTCGTTGAAATAAAGCAAATCATCCTTATCGGTTATGACACCAGCATCACCCACAATCAGGCGGAAGTGGTCCACGTCTTCCGATGCGAGTTGTTTGAATCTCGGATCCCGCTCGACCTTGCCAGCGTAAGTATCGGCAGTAAGGGGAACCTCCTTGGTGGCGTAACGCCGTACGGATGATGTAAGTTGAAGAGCAAGTTTCGGGGCCCTCGTTCTGAGCGGAATAGAAGCCAAAGCTCTCCAGCAACGGGGCAACAGGCGAATCATCCTTGTCTATCCAACTTTCCAAATGAAAAATTACTGCTGACTCGCGCTATATTATTTAGTCACGTGATATATTCTGGGGTACCTTTGAAGCTGTGCTCCCACTAATTGACGACTAATACTGAACTCATTATAGGCATAGCATTACCTCAAGACATGAGGTTTGTAAAATTCTTCCATATCTTGAGATTTTTTAAAATTCTTTAAAAAGGATGCATTTTTGGCAGAGGTCATCTCAGCTCAATTATTCATTAGCAAGAAAGTACGAGTTTCTAATGAGTAGCAAATTTTGTAAGCCTCTCACGGTCAACAACGTGGTTTTGCGTATAATACTCCAAAAAGTTGTCTATTGATTTGCATTCTAGCAGTCGGGTACGATTCAAAACAATCCATGCTCCCAGGTATTAAGTAACAACTGTTTGGGAGATAAAGATCATAAGTCTTACAAGTTCAAGCTGCAGCAGTTCTGATCTCAGAGTAGCTTTAACTTTTTTGGCACGAATCAACGGGAGTTCGTCCCAAACCGATCGGTGATAGCATACGGCCGCCCCAAAATTGACCCGAGCACGCGGCTGGCAAGGTAAAGCGATCGGAACACTCGATTGCGGTGAGCCACCTCAAGGGGACTGAAGTAGGTTTTTTTTCCGGAGTATCGTTCGTACGTACCGTTGCCACCTGTTCCTCACTATCATCGGAAATCTTGTTCATTAGCTACAATGCTTATGATCAACACTTTTGCTAGACCAAAATTTGACTCTTTGTGTGCTGGGTGTAGATGGCGGAGACCCTACTGTTTTTTCCTATGCCAGCGTCTTCGCTTCACATAATGCTGCAAATTTCTTCAACCTTTTTATTTTATTTTATTTTGCTTTAAAGCGGTATTTTTTATGCTTTAAAGCGTACTTGTTCAAACCACCGAGGCGAGCTTTCGTAAAAACAACCTTTGGAACTAGTACGCAACGTAAGAACTCTGTTAGACTTTCCAGGCGTGAATTACTTAAACTCCCGTCCACAATGTGAGCGTTATGTGCTCCATTGAATTCTCATGGAAGACGTGCTGATACCAAGGTACCACATTTTCTGGTTCATGATTCAACTCCCACAGACCAAACATACGCTTATGGCTCTGAGCTACCACTAACAGCACTATCATGGTTCGAGTGGAATGCAGATCTCAACGTCAAGACATTATTACCAGTATCGTACCTGCGAGTGAGTTCACGACGATCAGCTCAATAAAGATAGGATATTCAGCATACTTGTGGCTTCCGGTATATTTAATGCATTACTTTGTTAATCATTATCCTTCTCTGATAAGTCTCAGACGACTTGAGGCGCATAATGTCGGTGCTTCCAACTATCGAAGATTTTAAGGAGAATAACTTTCAATCAGTATCAGTCTAGAAAAGTCCGAATAAATTGTCCATGTTTGACACCGGTATGACGAATAACGACAGGCCTAAATTCGAAATTGAGGGAGGTGATAACTTGTAATCTCGCTTTGAATATTTGGAAATTATAGTGACCCGATCGCAATCGAATAGTTTTTCCAAATGAATGTCGGTCAAAATCAAACTGATGGTCGCTTAGTTTCTTGAGCTGTGACTACAGGTCAGAGATATGGGTGATACATATGAATGTCGAAACCTCATTTGTGAATTGGAATGCGTTTCCAAACTATATTGTCTCGCTTGAGCAACTGGCACTACAAATCTTCAAATGTTGCTTTGTACGAAAACCACTTTGACATCAGTCTAAAGCACTTTTGTCCACAGATTCAACCCCAACTTTTCTTTAAACTTGTTTTGCAATGCTGTTTTCGATGCGAATATTAGAGCTTTGGTGCTCTTTCTTAGACATTTCTGATAAGTTGCCGGTGGTGGTTCGAAAGAAGGTCGAGAATACTGATTACATTCCTCGAGACTGACAACAACCAAACAACAAAGAGATCCCAGCATATTTGAAGGTTTAAGATTTGGTTTCAGATACCACCACAGCGCCTTAGAGTGTTTCAGTGAGTGTGTTTCTTTCAACTTGGCGGTCGACCTCGTTAGACTCGAATGGCTCCTAATCCGTCTGTACTCTACTCTCCTGTTGGCGATGTGGAACACACTCGTTAGTTACGGTACGGAAATACGCATGGGTGTGGCACCGTTAGCTTGAATAGGAGAGCAATGATTGAATATAACGATGGCAAAGGTGGTTTACGGCGACTTAAAAGTGTGTGTGGCTTGAAAAAAATTCATAATGTTTTTGTATCAAACTAAAAAACTAGACTTATTCCGTGGTAACTATATAAAAGATTTATCTGTAAATGTTATGAGCACTGGTAAATTATAACATTCGAAAATCAAAATAATTATGAGCCCCGATTTGCATTTCATTGAACCAAACCTGTAAATATTATATGCAGTATTTCAAAGAGAATTTTTTTGCATACAAAAAAGGCAAGAATAGCAATTCGCACACAGTCTCTTTCCTATTGTAGAAAATTTAATGAGATTATCGAGTAGAATTATATATTTGACACATAATTATAGGGAGAGAGTGAGGAAGGTATATTTTGAATTTGATGTGTTTAAGGCCAAAATAATCGATGCTGACGCTATAGTTGCCTAGTATGAAATCATTAACGTTTTAAGCAGTTTCAACAGTAAAACTGCATAGTAGAGAGTGTTTGGGTATATAAATACTGCATATAATATAATATAATACTGCATATAACAAATATTTCACTGTACTCGAATGACTTCGGGTGTGATTCTAGTGCCAGCTCGCTGGATCCTGATTATTTGAAAGTTCTGCCTCAGAAGACATTAAACCACGTTCATTTGACGTTTAAAACCCTTAGATTCGAGCTTAAATGGTTGTGTTCAATGCATGCTTTCCGATGTATGCAATCTTTTTGAAATACATGGATTGAACATACTCTTTCATTTCATTTCGTAAACGTCATGTTCTCATGAGTCCCTGAATTTTCACATCTTCCATTAAAACAGCTCACATTGCTATCACGGTGTATTTTGACCGCAGTTGGACATGGCGATGGCGAGCAGCACCACCCTTGGTCATAGTCACTATGACCATCGACGATGCCATAGCTCCACAACCAGTAACGCGATGATTGTTCAACTTTGCCCATATTTTTGTACGCCTTCAACAATGCTGAGGTAGCGTTTTGGGTATGGGTTGTGTTTGGTTCGGGTTTTCACCAGATTGCCTGGGCCACAGCCAACTTGGCTATCGTCAAAATAAAAACTCCACCAAAACTTGTCCGATTGACGCCAAACTTTGTCCACATCATTTGGCAACGTTCACAATGCGGGGGCGGTATTTTGGTTGCAGTTGGATTTGGCGAGCAACAGCACCTTTGGTTTAGTGGCAGTAACCACCAACGACGCCATAGCTCCACCAGCAGTAATCTGATGACCGTCAAACTTTGCCCAAGTTGTTGTACGCCGTCGACAATGCTGGGGTAGTAATTTGGGCGTTGGTTGTGTTTTGATACCGACTTTCACCAGATTTGCCTTGGCCACAAGCCAGCGAGACCACCGTCAAAATACCGACACCACCAGAAGTTGTCCAACCGGCACCAAACTTTGCCCATGTCATTGGGCAATGTTCGTATTACATAGGTAGTAGTTTCAGCACATTCGTAGATGGTTCGGTTTAGACTCCCGTTGGTGGCACTCCGTGTGACCACCGCCGACACAGCGGTGAAACCCAAATCCACCGGTGATACCTCCGACTGAACTTGATCACTAACTTGACATCCTGATTTGGTGCTCCGTATGTATTCAACGTTGCACTTTCAAATTTGACAAAGCAAGCATTTGAAGTCTCGACATTGTATCAATACGCCGAGTTGGGTATGTCGACGAAATAAGTTATACCTGTGAGGTCCACATGATAAAATATCAGTAAAACTTTGCTTCAATGCCACTTCGACGGTACTCAATCATGTTAGTGCAAGGTCGCATATACTAACATTACATGAGGAGACAACGATTTTCGTGCGCATGAAAACATCCCATGCTCTCCGAACAGCCAGTCTCTCGTAAAGGAAGTCTGACTCGCCTCAATCAGTTGGGGAGACCGGGGACCCCCACTGGAACAAATTATGTGTCCCTGTCACTCAATCCGAAGAATGGTTCACATGGCAATTCTGCCGCTTCGGCAGCATTCAATAAATTGCCCATCGTTGAGGATGTTTCGAAGTTCGAAGAGAATCTAGCCAAACTCTCAAGGAAAATCACCCTGTTCAATGATACAGGGATTCAAGGATTTGTGAAGGAATTGATTTCCATCAATGACGATTTGAGGATGAGAACAACGGATTTGGAAAAACATCGCAAGCTTGGTTTGGAAATTCGTGATCTCGAAAAACAAAGTCACACATACGATCAGAAATTCAATGAAATATTGAAGGAACTTATTTCGTGTCGGAGTGAGCTTAAAAAGCTACCTAATGCCCCGACTACACCTCAAGCCAATTCTACCCAAACCGATGATCCAAGATTTGCAGGCAAATTTAAGCGTGGTGTGGTGGAGGGTTTAATAGAGGAACCTCCAAATATGGAGGAAGTCTTGAAGTACGCTCTGAAGCTTTCCAAATTTACAAAAGCACCGCCTACTATGGCCAATCTACAATTCCAAATCCACCCCAACAATTACGTATGGCCAGCAGAAGATGCATTGCGTCGAGGAATGCTTGCATTACTGAGCTTAAAACCTGAAGATGTTATTGCCGACGAGCTTGGTACAAGCACTACCGATGTTCAGGAAACTGTTGACTCGATAGCCATTGATGATACACCTTCAGAAAAGACCGTCTCCAAAGAAAATCCTGAGAACGGTCTGTTCACCGGTTATGGCGATATTGGGAGAAATGACCATGCTGATAAGGACAACGATTTGGATTTGAACTTATACGAGTATGATGACGACCTTTCGGATTAACAGTTTTCATACTACTTAGCAGTGTGCTTGCACACGACGCGAAGGCGCAATTGAGTTATCTAGTTGGTTCAAACAAGTTTCAGTGGCTTTTATAAGTACGGTACATAAGCGTTTAAATGAAAATGTCCCGAGACGCCCACAAACATCCTCTATCATTTTAGCTCGGAAATTTGTCTATGCATCCCGTACCTAGCGTGCGAACAATTCCGGTACAGGCGAAAGGGGGAGAGGCGTTGGCTAGGTAACGAGAAATAGTTGCTTCGGCCACTCTAAGAAGTTTAAGAAGTTTGGAGTAGAGCCGGGGGTAAAATTAAAGTGTTTCAATTGATTCAGTAGCGATGCTGTCAGACATGCTATTGTGTCAGTGCAGCTTTTGAAAGTTGGGCGACATTGATTTCAAGTTGAATGCAGTTGGATGAGGTGCTAGACAAACCGAATGTACCTAAACGCCTTGCCGAAAAAAAAAAAGGCGAGGTTGAAAGCTATAAATGGAACTTGGATGGGAAGTAATATAGGTTGATCTATAATAACCTCTTCACTTCATATAAACACCCTTCGGGAGCTGTCAGATATTACCTTGACAGACTAGACTTCCACCGAGATGATCGCAAACTAACCCCACCAGCAATCTGACTTGGCTCGTAATTGGCTTTATCGCTCCCCAGCCACCGTTCAGTGTTGTGGGGGCTTTGAAATTCTTTAATTGGAAGTGCACTTTGAGGGTGGGTTCCCGCAGGAGCGGCTAAAAGGTCGGTACATGATGTACCCCTTAGCCACACCACTGCCATTCTCACCAAGACTAGGACAATTTAGCCCTCTATATGGTCGTTAGAGCAGCTCCTGTTCAACCAGCAGTCCAGCTGCTTCGTTTTCTTTTCCCCGAAAATGATATTTTCGACCAGATCTTTTGTTGTCGCCTCGAAAAATTGAGATGTGCATATAGTCGACAGTACCTCCTTCGTTGGAGCCGCCAGCAGCGTGGAAACCCGCCCCTCGCTCGTGTCGACTACTGCCATTGTGGTTTGTCGACAGAGGTTGGTCAGACGTCACTCAACTCCTAATCTACTCACAATCCAACTTCTGGAGTTTCCAGTACCAACGTTGTGCTAGCTCTACTTCCGAGATCGTGGCATCTATTTGAACCACCTACCCCCAGCCATTGGTGAGCTCCCCGTGGTGATCGTGACAAAACCGTGTGTTCTTCAAGCTATAGGCTCCTAAAGGATGTCCTCCCTGCTTGCCGACCTCGGATTGGAAGGGAAGCGCTTTCATCATAAAGCTCACATAAAGCCATGGCTTCTGCTCCAACTTCGCCCCCGAGGGATTAACATCGTCATCGAGCGAAGCGATACTAATAAAATCATTTTCAAATGCCGCCTGGGCATCACTGCAACTCACCGCTTCCCGTGTCCTTTCAGAATTCGAGCAAATTTTCTGATCAAGTTGAAGGTTTGGCTGTTGGTGGTGATTAATGAAAACCATAATCATCGTCTTCAGACACTCGAATCCCATGATTCTTCACAGTCACAAGCTGCTCTGCCTCTGCTGTTGCCCGCAAGCGGTGCCTCATTGTTACCCCTGTATGCTACTTATCCATCCCTCCCGCTGCTTGTACCCCTGCTGAATTCGATATCATCCCTGCAGCTTCCACATCCTTCAGGACCCCCACTTCATCCCCATGGGTCAGCGGCAACACCCACCGCTTCGGCGGCAGCGGCTATAACCCTGACGTTGACATCGTCTGCTTCCGCAATTCAAAACAACCACATTCCATCTACAACTCTCCCAGCGTTGCCGCTTAATTCACAACCACAGCCTCTCTTACTAAACCAAGCGCCTCAGCTTCCGAAGCTCAGCAAAATCGTGGGACCGGCCAATCGAATTATTGATGTGGTAACACTGACCATAGCCGAAGCATTTGATACAAAAGTCTTGGGGAGTGAGGTTCTTACACATCAAGAGAAATGTGCTGTTCTTGAGCAAGTTATGCATCACGCGGTTTCTCTGTACCGCCGCTATCTTAGCCCTCAATTTTATCGCAGATTACCGCTTAGCCCCGTTGAGGGTCTTGAAAGAGAAAAACAGAAGGTTCCGCCACTGTTAGCGCTGTTGATGGCATCCGGTGATGGACCTTCAGCTAATGCTGTCAACCGTGAAGATGACTCTACTCAAGCTCAATGGCTGGCGCTGATCCCTCTTCTGCCGTTGCTTAATGATACTGATCCAGAATACCCACAAAATCTGTCAGTGTCCATTGAAAACCTCATCCATATGCCTGGTGCTTCCGGAAATACTCAATCACTGGTGCTTCCCCCATTCACAACCATTCAAAATAAGTTTACCTTGCTGCCAACTCAACCGTTACCCCAATCAGGTGCAACAATTAATCCTCTGCATATGCTTAAGCCTTCTACAGGCGATTTGAAGGGACCGGTTCCCAAAGATAGATTTGATTTTACTCAATTTTAATGTATAATCCCAAGTGAAAAACTCTAGATTTACCTCGAAAGTCATACTGAATCACACTCCTGTTCGCTCTTGACATAGAAGTTTGGTGAGTCGAACTTGGTGAGATCTACAATCACGTATAGTTGCTATTGAAATTGTTCAGTTTAATGGCAAAAATTTGGAAAAGCCCTAAAATTCAAGAAGTGGATGAAATGAAGGTACATTAAACTCATTAACAAATATATGCAATTGCGTTGTCTTTATTTCTCTACCCCATTTACTGAGGTTACGAAAGCCGTAGTACAACAATATTATCTTGAAACGAAATCAAATTCATGTGAGCAGGACTGGACATATTATTGGATCCTACGCGACTTCATAAATTCGGAAGAATTGATCGGTACGAAACGTAATCCCAATCTTCTCCTAGAAGCATAAACCACGAAATAGCTAATAGCTACTAAAACCAACCAACAAAATGTTTTGCATGATTCATAACTTGATGAATGAGGTGTTACATTCGATTGAGTTTCTTGAAATTTCCATGACAACCGATCTCAACCGAACCACCCACTGCTCACTAACGCGCCATCTTTCTCACCCACGCGTCACCTATGACCAAAAAGATTCTTCTTATTAACGGCCCCAACCTCAACCTCCTAGGTACCAGGGAGCCCGAAAGATATGGTCATACCACTTTGAATGATGTTGAGCTGGCTGCTATCTCTCAGGTTGAGGCTGCTGGTGGCGAATGCTACACGTTTCAAGCCAATTCAGAGGGAGCTATAGTTGACCGTATCCATGCTGCTCGAGAAGAGAAAGTTGATTTTATTGTCATCAACGCCGGGGCATACACACATACACTGGTGGCTATCCGGGATGCTTTGTTGGGAGTGGACATCCCGTTCATCGAGGTCCATATTACCAACGTCCATTCTCGGGAGCCGTTCCGCCACCACAGTTACCTTTGTGACAAGGCAGTGGGAGTCATTTGTGGACTTGGTGTTTACGGTTACACTGCTGCTATTAACTACGCTTTAGATAAGAAATGATTTACTTCAATATCAATTCACGTCGCCTTTTTCGATTTAAAACTAGCCGTAAAGCCCATCTTCCATTGCGTTTGAATGCTGGCGAAGTCCATACATCCCCGTCCAACTCACTGGGCATTGCCATCTTTGGGTCCCTAACTCGAGAATTGATGCAAGCTTATCGGCCAAAGCGAACGCATCGTTTGTATTATCACCCTCGTAAACATATGCTAGCACCACGTCACTGGTTACATTCTTTCCTCTAGCCTCAATCACCGCCCTGGTGGTCCCCAGAAAGTGATCGTTGTCGTCTTCATGGATACCATCCTGTAAACTAAGCTTCTCAACCTTAGCATTTAGTACAACATCACTGGTAACCACGTCAATGGTGTGGAGTCGGCTGACATCATCAAATCCCCCATTCGTCAGATCAACAAGGATCACTCGGTCATATTTTCCAGCAAGTGGCACCAACACATCGGTGGCAAACTTTTTCGTGTAGGGTGTCACCACAGGAGATCTTTGTTGTACAACAGCAAGCTGTTTCTTGTTGTCTTCGTAGAGTTCAAGACCAGTACTAATACCCAGTGGCTCAGTTTGATCGGGTAGGTGATCTCGGGGTGAGGCGAATGGGTGAAGATAAGTATCATCGAGTGCTTGACTTGGGGTTAATCTGAGGGTGTGTATAAGTAGGTCAACCGCTAATTGAGGCACATTACCCAAGGAAACGGCAGGGATGATAAGGGTTGTCATCTTGGATGGGGGCAAATATGGATGCGACTGGTCTTATGCGTGAAGTGCGCCACGCTTCGCGAGCCGGCGCTTATGAATATATATAAAAAGTTAAAATGGCTATTTAAGCAAATTGAAAACTCATGTGTATGTAGATAGTTATTGTTATAAAAACTTTGCTCAGTTGAATTATTTCAATGATGTCAGTTACCAAAATGAGCACCATCCGATGTAGTGTTGGCACAAATTTTCCACACTAGTAGCTTGTTGAATCAACATATTCACTTGAGTGGGAACGTCAAGACCCTGTAACCTTTTGATGTCGTTACCTGTCAACTTATCAACAATGCGTTGCAAAACAAGAGCCGCTCTAGCTTGGCGGAGCTCATGATCATTCTGCTTTTGCAACCTGATGGCTTCGGCATCATCAATTTGGCCACGACGAAGTAATTCACCAACATTTACTTGAGGAACACGGATTCCTGTCGCTTCAGCCACAGCCTTTGTGGGGAAATCAAAACCCCAATTAATCAAGGGATCATATGCAAATGCTTCGAGAATCGCCATAAGCGACTCCTTGTTATCACGAAGAACCCGCATTACATGCTCGCAAGTGATTCTGAACAGACCTTCAATACCCAGTACTTCCATAGCATAATTGAGCATACGCGTCAACCGGAAGGGAACCTTTTCTGGGTACTTTTCCCGCAAAATGGCTGCCTCAAAACAATCACCAAAGTCAATATGGATCACCATTCCTGTGAACCTATCCAACATTAAATTACTTGGGTGACGGTCACCCAAGCCGAGAATGTACCCTACCATCAGCATGACTGCCAACAGTCGAGTGTAGGTAGTTCTGCGATCAAGCCACAGCTCAGACAGCTTCAGTTTCAACCACAACACTTTATACAAGTCTTGGCCTCTGGTATTGTCCAATGCACCAGTGAAAACTTCAACCTTTTGCAACAAAGTGAGCGAGTCATAATCAGGCGCCATCTGCAACATAATACGATGTTCGATATTCAAGAAAATCTTACGCAGCTCTCTGTACTCACGGATAAGTACATGGAAGGTGTCCAGATTAGGTACCCAACCCAAGAGACCCACCTTCGGCAGAAGAGGGGTTGCAGGGTATCTTTGAATATCCAAATGACGTTTGAAACATTCAGGATCATTGACAAGAAGGGTGTTGACAAGCCCGAATAACTGCATCACTAAATTGTCCTGTCGAATATCTTCATGACCCTTAAGCACGTAATAGTATTGAACATTGTCTGAACCCCAAATCATGAACTTTCTGGGTCTTTGTTTCAGCGATATCACCGAAAAAGTATGGTCGAACTTACTAATGCGAATCACTGGTTGACCAGCCTGATAAGTACCAGGGACTGCCAAGTCTAAGTCGCGGGCCATTTCGAGTTTCGGACTCACGTATTGCAACTCCAATTGGTTGATCAGCGGCAACAGGCGATTGATGCGCCTAAAGACGTTATAGTATATGTCCCAAGCTTGATTCAAATTGGTAATGTCCTTAGTTCTCCGGAAATTGAGCACCCACTCATAGGCATCGCCTAATTCACGACCATATACCAGCGCGAATGCTGCTTCTCGCAGTGTCTCTGCCCCTCGTGACATCATTTGGTGCAAAGGCTCCAACACTTCGAACATTTTGTCAGTATTATGATCACCAAAGAAAAGTCTCAGAGCATCTTCCAATCCTTCATACCACTGTTCATGCCAAAGGACGGCAACTCGAATTAATTCCAGTGCTACAAGCTCAGCTTGCTCCACCAAAGCTGCAGAGTGCATTTTCATTTTGTCGACAATCAGCTCGGCCGCTTGCTTTCTCAGAGCCAGATCCAGCGTGACAGCGACAGCAAGAGGGTACACTAGAGCTTGGGGGTGAGCTTTACCTAAGTCCAGTAAAAGCCCGAATAAGGATCTCAGGACCACTGGATTAGGTTGGTGAATTTGCGAAATAAGTTGTGGCACAACTTCAAGCCAGGTATCGATTGAAACCATCGAAAACCCTTCAGTCATCGCCGCAGCTGCTTCAGCTTGTCCCCCGTACTTGAACCAGAGTGTGAGCAATCTTAAAGTGTCTTGTAATGGCAGCAGATTAGCATCCAGTAACAGTATCAGGTAAAAGAATCCCTTAATTGATGGCACGACATGCCGTTGTACCACATCCACCAGCACAGTGTTGGTTCCCCAACGCATTCTCCCTTCATCGTCAGCATCTTCATTGTTTTGATACAACAGCAAAACCTCAAAGTTCGCAAGGGCCCAATTGTGCCACGCTTTATACCACTTATCATCAAAGTGGGTGGCCAAGAGGTAGGCACCAAGTATGATTTCCAGCGTTTCAGTGCGCCAATTCGAGTTAAGGGCGATTTGCCATTCACCTTGCTTGAGGAAGCATCGAGCAAGCAAGCGAGTGTATTCTTCAACGTGTTTCTTCAGCGAGATACCACGACCCTGTTGGGGCAAGGGTTGAGTGATGAGGTCGTTGGGATTGAGTCCCAAGTCCTGAGACATGCGCGTGGTGAAGTCCACCAAGTGGCGCAAAGCTTCTCGCTGTTGACCTTTAGCCCACATATACTTAAGTTGCGCATACACCACTTGGGGAGGAGCTCTCAGAGCATGATCCAGACCACCAGTGTCTAATAACATGTTGAGCAGCTTTTCAGCAAGATTGAGCCGCCCTTGTTTGCGACATAAATTAGCAAACTTGATCCACATATCCATATCTTGCTTTGGCTTTATCACGAGTCCCCTCACCTTGAGCATTCGTTGCCAAATATCAACGTTACGCTGGCATCCCAAAAGTCGCTGATTCCACGTCCTTCTCATTGCAGCCCGACGATCATGGCCCTCAACAGTAGCAGGGAGCTGTTTGTAGGTGATGATCTCTTCAAGTTCGGACAACATTTGTACTCGCACCATCACGCCGTAAGCCCGAGTGTACAGTTCAGCCACAAGGGCAGTAATTTCGGTGACAAGTAAGTCTCGAGCCTTGACGATTTCATTGGTAGCGGCTTCGAAGTTGTTACGGTGAAGTTGGAGAATCGCAAGGAAAAATGCTCTATCAGGCAGCTCTGGCTTCATCACCAGGATACAGGTGTCCATGCGATCCCATTGCCCCAAACCCCAAGCCGCAGCCGCTGCCAACGGAGCAATATTCCGTTGAATGTCAGTCAGAGTTTCCCATTTGGCGCGAGCAAGCTCCAGTAATTGTTCCCATTCACCTAATGCATGCAAACAACGCATTTTACCAAGTACGACTTCCATGTTGTTCGGATCTGTCTTCTCTCGAGCTGAGTAAGCAGCGAGGGCGTCATCCCACCGTTGAAGCTTTTCGTACCACGTTTCCTTCAACTGCAAATCATGATGAAGCTGGGCATGCTTCAAAATACCTACAGCGGCATCCGATTGCTGGAGTTGATTATTGATAGCAATCAACAGTTCAATAGTGGGTGTCAGTGGTTCCTCATAGAATTCAAGTTCTTTGTAATGAAGAGCTTTAGCGTAAGCATGACACCGTTGAGCATATTGACCCAACGTCAGTATCGCAATCGGTAACAGTTTGTCATCATGTTCCAAAAATTCGGCAAGATTCAATAACGTTTGGTGATTTTCTGGGGGGTTGTTCGGCAGCAGGAGCGCCACACAAAAAGCTTGCACAAGTTCCTCTTGGTTTTGGGAGTAGAGCTCATTCCAACACAGTGTGAATGAGGTGTTGAACATTTCTTTAGCTAAAGGGAAATAGTCCAGTGCTAAGGGAACACATGCTCTGACGGCGTGCGAGGGCAGCTGCTTTAAAAGCTCTAATGAAAGACCACGGATCCACTCCTGCCAATCTTCCTTCAGTTTGCGATTCAGGGTGTCCCATGCCTGACGCAATACATCTTGCTTTACCGGAAGTTTCTTCAGCGGCTCTGCCAGTGGCTCGTAGTTGTCAACAGCACTATCATACTCAGCGTAAATGTCATTGTGAGGCGGTAGTTGGTCTCCCAGGATTAGCTTTTGCACCAAATGCTCAAACTTAGGTGCGTGGATTTTCGAGGCAAGCATCACTTGTTTGATTGTGGGAATGAACACCTGGAATTTTGGCGATGACTGAAGTAAAAGACACAGCAAACAATTGAGTACCGGCACTCTCAACTCTTCGTCTTCCAGCAGAAGTACCCGGAGCAAAGGGTGAATAATACGCAGGGCCATATCCTGGAGACTAACCTGCCTCAGCATGCGACCTATGGTATCAATGGCTGTTTTTCTCAAGGAGGACGGTGCCAGTTCCACAAGCTTGATGACAACAGGTATCACAATATGAACATATTCATCCATATTAGTCCCAAATACCACAAGGGCACGAAGTACCTGAGCCAGTGGCTCACGTTTTGCTGACTTGTCCGCGTCCAAGATTTCAAGTAACGGGGGGAGAACACGAGGGAGATACTGTTTGAATTCCCCTTCAAGAGCCCGAGCAATTGCTTCGATAAGACCGATAACAGTGACTTGTGTCAGAGCCAAGGGACCCACTAATTGATTCGGGCCAAAATTAGCATCGATCACAGCGAACACCTTCTCAATGTACGGACGCATGTGCAGCTTAACTATCTGGACCATTTCAGTGAGGTGTTGGAAGTATACTTTAAGCATCAGCGGCAGGCATGTAGCCATTGCCAGCACCACTCCCGGGATTACCTTGTCAAGGTAACCAACGCACTTAACGCCCAAGTTGCGGAAAATAAACATGATGGCCACCGCCACTTGGTAGTGATACAGAGCCAAGCTTGAATCAGCAAGAATCTTGATGAGTACAGTGATCAGTACCAGCGGGTAAAACAGTTCGTCCAGCAGTGGCAGCGTTCCCGTCATAAGCAATTGTACGTCGACAGGAGTGGTCAGAGAGTCCATTTCAAGTTTACGCAGACTCAGCTCTCGAAGTTTATAAGGGTCCAACGCCCCTAAGATCCCAAGAAGTCGTACCGTTTCCCGCTTTACCAGCGCCAGAGCCTCCAGTTTGAGAATACCCACAAGTAACCCTAGAAGTTGTGGGTATTTGAGGAAGGGTTCGATAACACATCCTGTCAGCAGGACAACTTGACCTAAAGCTTTAAGCGCTGCATCCCTCTTATAGGTACTCAGGTGATCGTAGAACGTATCGATCATAAGCGGAAGGACTTGATCAACGTATGGCAGAAGCTCATCACCGGCGACAACCGCCAATTCACCAATGCACGCCAACGCCAGCGCGGCCACTGATGCCAGAGGATCCAGTGATTTATCAATTAAAACCTCAATGATCGGTTGAGTGTATGGGCGACAAAGATCATGCGAGCTAGCAATGAGAAGGCCAAGAAGTTGAGCCGCTTCCTCCTTTTTACGATTGGTCGTCAGATACTGGAGTCGCGTCAACATTTGAATCAAGATCTTGCGCAAATTGGGTACAATTTGAGCGGGATTGATTTGCGAAAGCCGCCCTAAAAGCTCCACCGCCGCCAGACGCACTTGGAACTCCCCATCATTTACAGCAATGAACAATAACGACACTGGCTGCGCTTGCGATAAGTGCGGGTCAAACTCACGATGGCTGACAAGAGCTTTGATACCAGAAAGTCGTATTGCTGGCACAAGATCTGTGATCGCCACCGTTAGCAAGCGCTCTAGCACATGATGTACAACCGAAAGCAGGTTTATCAGCAGTTGTTTCACCACTTCTTCACGAGCAAATATCTCAGTGGCAGTAAGGGCCGCTTCTTGACGCACCTTGGGGTTAAAATGATCCAAATACAGCACCACGACCTTCTCAACGAACTCATAGAGCAACACCCCAGAAAATGTGAACCGGGCAAGCATGCGGAGTGCCTGCACAAGAATATGATTGTCTTGCCTGGTGTAGGCGGGGTTGTCTTGAAGGATTTGGTTAATCAGGTGTCCCGTGTCACGAGCGATCATAAACACTCGATATTCCTTTGCCACGTGTTGATTCATCGATAAAGGACCATACGGCAGCCCTGGCGGCTGAAATCCTCGTCCCAGAAGGACCAATGCGAGCAAATTGAGTAACTTGTGGTTGATCACCGGCACCAACGAGGGAATGTTTGTGGTGAGGGTGTGTAATACCGTCTCCAATGCTTCCAGTAACAGGCAGTTGGTGAAAATCATGTCCAAAATATCTCGTTGTAAATGCTTAGTGAGCGCCGGGCCCACGGCGATGGAAAGCTTACCAATGCAGAAAAATATGGCTGGTTCGGTATCCTTGCGTCCCAGCTTGAATTTCAGTGATGTTGGGAGTGACGAGAGAGCCGTCAGGGTCAGCTGAACATCGTCCATACTGGCACCACCGTCGACCACTGCCAGTGCCAAAATCAGTTGAACGTTGGCATTAGTAGCAAAAGTAAGACCGTCGCGAATATTGTCGAGGATAGGATCCAAGTACGTGACCATGTGGTTACCCACTTCCACGGCTATGACACCAATCAGGCGGAAAATCGCCGCCTTTTCAGCATTAGCCACCTCCGAGTGAGAGGTTCTCAATTTGCGCAATTGAGCCAAGTAGTACAGAATGGTCAGGTGCAACCGATGTTCGGCAAATCGTACCGTGTCGAGACAGCATACAAGGGGGAAGATGTTGGTAAGCTCCTGGCGAATCAAAGGAAGCTTATGATACTTGTATAGCGCACACACATCGTAAATAAGGTCACTGTGGCCCACAATGTATGGATCAGTCCGGTAACGTAAGGTTTCACGATAAACGAGGAGGGCACCATGGATACTCTCGTTGGTAGACGATGCCAGCGCAATCAACCCTGATCCTTCGACCCCTTGGCGCGGAGGTATATACCGCTTTGCGCTGTCGCCTTCACAAAGGATGTCGGTTGCCTGGTCCACAAGCTTTCTTGTCCACTCAATGCGAGCCGCCAGGTGGCGCTCATTAACGATTTTAAGACATTTTTCCAAGGTGACGGCGGCGTCGGCTCGAATGATCAATTTTGCGTCTCGGAGTGCTCCCCAAAGAACTTCAAGAATCTGGGGGATGTATGTAAATAACAATGCCGGCGCATTATCAGCAAGGGCGATGATGATAAGACTGGCGGCGTGGTGTTTGGTATCGGCCAGCTTTCCCTCCAGTTGGAGCCATTCGATGGCCTTTTTCGCCTGGGAGTCGACGATATTACCGGCGGTGGCACCGCCAGGACTAGCAAGACGCCCCAACGTCAGACACGCTTGCCTCATCACCACCAATTCACTCAGGACAATGAGGGTCAGCAAGTAGCCCAAGATTCGTTGGATCTTGACTGTTTCTCCCAGGGATCCCAGGTCAAAGCTGATCAACGCATTGATGGCGGCAATGCCGCCGAGTTTTTCGTTGGTTTCTTTGGAATGGAGAAGATCGAAGATGAGTTTGTTGATCTCCTTTGAGTGCTTGAGGAATTGGTCCTCACTGAGGTCCCGCAGGATCAACGAGAGAAACTGGCCGAGTTCTCGGGCCGCCTGTATCCGCTCGTCTTCCACGGGCAGTTTGAGCCCCGTGAAGATCGTGGTCACCGCTACCCCGTCCACACTCATGTTGGTAGGGTGCGAGAAAAGATGGTGAGGTATCTGGTGAGGCTGCGGGGGTAAATCCGCGACTTTGAGAGGCGACCACCGCGATTGCCGGAAAATTAGGATCTTGTAAACTACAAACGGAAATTATGATTCTGAGATCAAAATGATTCACAGGGAATTGAGTGATGGTTCCGTATAAGCCGTGGACATCCGACTTGTCGACATGGTTTTGGTGGCGCGCGTCGAATTCTATAGCGTTGACGGAAAACCACACTGCGTCGACGAGTGTGGCAAATTGATAATTAAGTAGCATGCACACGATCAGGCCAGAGAGAGAGAGAATTTTGCTGACACGGTTGCAATGGCTCCATCAACCTTAATCAGCCACATTTCGGAGCCGGTACACGCCACGCGATTTTTAGGCGGAAGAGTACCTAGGCGAGCGCTTTGAGGATGGGAGCAATGCTCGTGACACGGTTGAGATCATGCAGTAGAGGAGAATAGTTTGGTGTAAAGTTGAATGATCTACACCATCATATCGTTCACCGCTACTGTATTACAGGGAAAATTAATTCTCGTGTTTGGAAGGCTGGCTTCGTGAAAGGTGTGACCCTCGCCGATCCTGAAGAATCCAAACCCGCAAAACGAGGAGGGGGTGTGATGCACGTAATTAAACTTTGTCAGCTGAAAATGAAAGACAATTTTACTAACGAGGAGACAAACTTGCAGTGTATGATAGCGTCTGAAACCTTGAGTTTATCCGCATCCCGATAGCGTTGAACTCACAACAATGTGGTTTCACGTACGGCGGATGATGATTTTGTCCTCTCCGACAAAAGCCGACTGTCTCAAAAAAATATCGAAAAATTTTAATCAATGGGTTAGGGGGGTCATTTTCTCGGAATTGGAGCATGTCATTTGTCCGTACGAAGTCTTCGCCAATATGTGGCTGGTGCACGCGTGGTACCTGGTCAGGGTCCTCACGATATTTCAGGGGCTCGGTTGCGCGGCAGTAATTTTACGCTTACAGTATTGATGAGCAAGCCAGGAGATCGTTTGAGGTGGTTTCACTACTGATAAGCCACCCCGCAGCAAGTTCAGCCGCTTTGTGGGTTTTCGGGGGGCGTTTCCGCCCTCACCCGTGTCGAGTTCAAGCGAGGGGGGGCGAGGGGGGAGTAGTGCACGATGCTGTAGACCGGGGCCACCTAACCACAAAAGTGGGGCTGGCGTGATATATTTAAGACAATAACCACAACCTCCAATCGACAAATCCAGCAACCAACTTTCCCATTACATCAATGTTTCGACCAAGACAAGTACACCCGATGCTATCGACGTCGCTGCCGCTATGTCGAGAGGCGGAAGAAGTGGTGAAGGGGCTGCCCCGAGTGAACCGGCGCCCCAAGATTAGAGAGGAGACGAAGCGGTTGTCGCCCAGCGTGTGCGTGTAATACTTTGTAAATATATAGCAATATACCTCCCAACGATCGCATCTATTAAAATAAAAACTAGAACCCTTGGATCTTTTTAGCCGCACTGGTGTCACCCCGACCTTTAACCATCGCCATCATTGTTTCCCCTTCATCCTTAAACACGACCTCGATATCGAACACTTCCTTAATGTCGCGTAAAAGAAGTACTAGCCGTTCGTCGATTTGGTCACGGTGCAACACGAGCCGCCCGATGTCGGCGGACCCGAGACACATGAAGATGAATGTCAACGGCACCTGGTCCCCCGCCACCACGGCGTTATGTTGAAGGCGATACAACAATTCTAACGCCAGCTTCTCGCCTAAATCCTCGGGTAACAGCCCCGCGGTACCCACGTTTTCCAGCGTGAGCCGCCATCCTTTCTTCAGCTCAGCCACCAACGTCATCCCCCACCCCGGCAGCAAACCGGCATGTTCCCCTCGCCACACATCGGCAGTGATGTTCACGTCAACCCCAGTTGGCCGCAACACGTTTCTGGCGGCGTCGATCATCCGGTTGACCATCAGCGGCAGCACTCTCGTCGAGTACGCCACCCCTCTGATGGCGGAAAACTTCGGCGGCTCAGTTATGTGTAATGTCAACGGTAATTTAAGCAAGGTATTGCACACCAAATGAACCTCAGCTCCTCCCTGCGGCGCCAGCCCGCGTTTAAGGATGTGGATGGCGATGTCTCGGACGCCAAACTTTTCCATCATCGGGAGCATCCCCCACTTAATGGCATCAATGCCGGGACCCAGACTCGAGTTGGAGATCCCCGTAAAGACAATGCTGAACTTATTTTTAGAGAAGGGGGCCAAATAGAGCATCCCTTCGACGTAGTAGCCGACGGTGGTGCCACTAGGACACTGGTGTTTTAGCTGACCGCCAACGATGATCCCCGGATGGTAGATGACGGTAGTACCGGTATAGGAAATCTCGATCTTCAGCCCATTGGTGACGGCTTCAATCAATCGAAGGAACGAAACTTCGTGGTCGCGAAGCCCCGGGTTAAGGTCGGTGGACCGGATCTTGGTGATTTTGATGGGACGACCGTGAAGGGTGGCCATCACCACCCGTTCTCGAAAGTTGTGGTGCCCTTGAAACACTGCTGCTTCCATCGTGTATATGCTGGCGGAGGTATCTGAGTCTGGGAAGGGTGAGAGAAGGGTGTGCGATGAGTCGCGATGAGATGAGATGAGGCATGAATTATGGGGAAGCTAGGGTTTTCCGAATTTAGAAGGGAATAGTTATTGGTTTATACTTGAATAAGGCTTTCTGAGTAGATGGTTTGGTGCTAGTCTTCATTGGAAAGTCACTCGATAAAATTTACCCTACATCTCTAGAAATACAGAGAGCTGATATACCAAATTCGAAATTATAGACATCAAATACTATTTCTTAATAGATTTATGAATCAATCAATCGAATGATTTTACGACGCTTGGATCTTTTGACCGTTTGATGCTAGTTGAGATTACTCTCCATTGTTAATTCGTATGAGCACTTGTTTCAAAATATCACGGAAAACAATATCGGTCAATGGTAAAAAACAGGTAAAACAATACCAAAATCAAGCATAAAACACATTACCAACGACAAGAAAAGTCTTTTAGTCGGTAAATTCATTCATTTCTCGAATACCGGTTTCCATGGCTCGCCAGTCGCGTTTTTCCTCACACTACCCTCACCTGAACCTTCCACACACCCTACCCTAGCTATGGACGGCCCTCCAGCGAAACGTGTCAAAACCGAGGGCGAAGCCAACGTCTTCGACAGCGCCGACCGGTATAGCGAGTTTGCCAACTCGGTGGATTCACTGGTGGGCTCAAATCCCAATTACCCTTACCACCAGCGCCCGGCGCCGTCGCAGCTGGTAACTCGCTCGTACACCCAGCAACCGCCCCTGCTGCTGTATCTGCTGAACTACAACTATCCTCAAGGGACGAACAACTACCTGACTCTGTTTGAACCTCTGCGGGCCCCTCAGACAACGCTGCAGGCGCTGGCAGCCACAGGTAGCAGTGGGGGCGGGGCGCTGGCCGCTGACCCCAACAAACTCAACGATGCCCTTGCCGCCGCCGGGGTCAACATTGCCGAGGAAGAAGAGATTCTGCTGAACTTGCACCTGCGGGCGTTTGCCACCCTGAGTCAGGCGTACCGCCAACAACTGATGGTGAAGCCGCAACGGCTAGCCCCGTTTTTGAACCAATATCAACTCGCTCAGTTCATGGCACGGGTGGCCAAGGAAAACGGTGTCAGTCAATCCTTCCACAACGACCACGAGATGCTCGAGTTTGTCCTGGCGGCTTGCGAAAACTGGATGTCGCAAATCATTCTGCGCATGTTAATCCTCAGCCATCACCGACGGCGAGGAATTGCTCTGTTTCAGCAAACTAACCAGTCAGGTCAGCTGAGCAGTGCGGCAAAGCTGGCAGCTAAGCGCCAAAGCCAGCTGCAACGACTGGAGCTCTCTCGCGAATTGAGAAACATTGCTGCTAGACAAAAGGAGCTTGAAGAAAAGCGGGTGTTGAAACGGGTGGCGCTTGGTCTCGAAAAGGATGCTAATCTGGAGGCTGCTTCGGGGGATGCTAAGGGAGCCGCTGCCGAAGAGGCTTTGCACCGGCTGACTAACGAAACCGCAGCCATGATGACTACGGGCAAGAAAAAGTATGCCTGGATGGATCTGGCGGGGGCGGGTCTGGCGAAGAAGGGCAACGGTAACGGTGCCAGTAGTGTCACCAGTGACAAAAACAAGCAAAGTGCCCTTATTACGGCTCGTGGTGATAATGGTCTACGCTATCGAGAAATCCGACTGGGCAATTCAGTGATGATGAAGGATTTGTTGAGCTCGCTCGAGCTGGAGCGCATGTGTCTGCAAAAGGCATTACTAAAAGGGTACACTAAATTGAAGGAATAGTCGAGGAAATACTTAATACAACTTCAGGGAGTTCAAATCGTACAATACACTGAAACTGAAAAACTCAAAACACGTCACTTAGCTTATTAGATAATCAGGTGAACTGGAACTTGATGATGGGATTGGCTAGATAATTGCTCGAAATGAAAGTTTTAAACAAAAAGTTGTAAAACTGACTTGTTCTTCTGTCAGCGTTATGTGCCTAATTGTGACCTACAGGATTCACATTTATAGTTGTCATATTCACGTAACATAATTAACCGTCCAAAGCGTACCCCAAATCGACGCCTTCAAACTCCTTCGCCAACGCCTCCAATTTACCCTTCAACATGTTCAAGTTCTCATTGTCCAGTTCCAAGCGTGGCAACCACTTGGCGACGCCGTGTTGCAACACCCCCTTGGCTCTCAGTTTGCCGTGGTCGACCAGCCCATACGAGCCGTGCACGGTGATCCGCTCATTCTTGGCTTGGTACTCAGCCCGATGCAAGATGTTGTTGTTGTAGAAGACAATGTCACCGGGGTGCAATTGAACCGTGATTTGGCCGGTGATGAATTCCTTTCGGTTATCGTTGGACGTCTTTTCCCGTTCTTCTTCCGTCCGCACCCGCTTGTGGGAACCGGGGATGACGATGAGGCAGGGGTCTTCCGTCAACGCCAAGTTGAACTGAGTACCGGCGTAAGGGTCTTGTAACAATTGCTCCGCCTCTTCCTCGGGCAGGACTTCGGGCTTGATGGTGTCACGGTGCCAGTCCAAGCCAAAGTCGGTCAACGGGTTGATCAACATATTGAACAATTCCATCAGCAACTTGTCGTGAGGCTGTTGTAAGATGTCACTGGCGACGTCGAGGATCTTGTCACAAGCGTACAAGTCGTGGAACGGCTTTGAGAGCTCGCCGTTCTCCCCCAAATCAGGGTGCAACAACCCCGACACCCCCCAGATATCAGGGGAGAAGTTCTTGGGCCAGGGAGGGAACTGCTTCCCCCGAGTTCTGACGTCGGGCCATTTGCCCTCACGGGCGTAGTCAATCACTTTTTGCGCCGCTACCTTATACTTGGTGACTTCTTCCGGAGTCAAGAAGTTGCGAATAACGCAGAAGCCGGTGTCGGCAATGTCGTCGTGGCACTTGTGGGGCAAAGCACTGGGCATGGTAGTGTTTGGGAGAAGATGAAATCCGGGGTAAGTGTTGGTATTAATATAACTGGGATTTAGTAAGGTTACACTGCATCCGGTCGCGGTTGCATCGAGGAAAATTGGGAACGTTACATCGCACCCCACACCCGCGGCGAATGAAACCGGGGTAGAGAAAATCAAACGATGTCACCCCTGCTAAGCGATGTAGTATAGGACTGGCGGTAATAATCGGAAGCAACTAGCTCCGGGACCGTCACGCGAGTTGTACAGTTTCAATTAGGGTTGAAAGTTTGTGCGGATAACGCGATCCATAGCGCATTGAGTACAACTTCAAGGTGTGGGCGCTTTCCTAAAGGTACGAGACATATTGAGGTTATTGTAGATGACTATCGTCGCTGATTAAAATGTAATTCGCCATGGGCACAAGGTCTCCTTGCATTTAGATAAGCATTTAATGCAACATCGCGGTGGAGAGGGTGATGTTTACAAGCTCTCGAAACAATCATACCTAATTTACAAATAGGGGAACTAAACAAGTTTAATGAAACGTAAATAAGAATGGTGGCAATGTTCCCCTCAGAAGGTGACTTTAGGTCCAAATTAACTCAATTAACCTTTTGTATTTTGAGTAGATTAGCCCCAATGTGCGTTCCCATAGCGGAAAGCTTATCGGTTCGGATGCAACTCCACCAGATTTCAACGGCATGGTCAAAGAAAAACCTGCTGTCCCACAATGTCATCTTTGAAACGATGATCATATGGACACCGGTCAATTTCCGTAGGTTCGGGGTTGGGCGAAGATCAGAAAAACAGGGCGGGGGAGGTGAGTCATACGGCTCTAAAACTGGCGCTGACACCAGAGTTGAAAGCCACCGACAATAATAAATTCATTGATAATAATTGAGACCAAATTACACGTTTTGATTCGATAAAAATTGTAAATTTAGCCAATCTCAAACAATTCACTAGTGACACGGTGAGACAAAAAACAAAAATGGCATTGTGGCCGAGTGGTCTAAGGCGGCAGACTCAAGCGTTTCGCTTCTCAACTGTGAGGTTGGGGTTTCTGTTATCGTAAGATGCGCGTGTTCGAATCACGTCGATGTCAATACTTTTTTGTTTACAAACATCTATAATTTTTAACGGTGCCATGGTCGATAACGTATGTATTACAATGTTCTACACCCGGGGAAGACTCTTATGACTCAAAATCATAACATGAATTGAACGTACTTACAACTTGGCCAACTTCGCCTTATTTTCTTCGAACCGCTTAAAGTATTCGTCGACGTAAGGGAACTTCTTCAGCTCCTTACGGGCCAATTGGCCCAAGTGAGCTTCATCGGGGCCGTCGGCAATACGTAACGTCCGCCCCAACGCGTACATGCGTGAGAGCTCGGTGTCTTGAGACACCCCTTCGGCGCCAAACATCTGGATCCCCCAGTCCAAGATGCGAAGGATGGTTCTCGGGGTCTCGATCTTGGCCATGGCGATGTCGGCTTGCGCCGCTTTGGCTCCGGCAATGTCGATGTGGTGGGCGGCATTAAGGACAAACAAGCGGCACTTTTGGATGTCGATCTTTGCCTGAGCGTAGGCGTTTAAAAACAGCTCGCGCTTGGCCATGGGCTTGCCGAAGATGATACGGTGATTAGCCCGCTGAGCCACTCTCATCAAGGCGAATTCGCCGACGCCAATCATCCGCATGCAGTGGTGGATGCGCCCCGGCCCCAATCTCAGCTGGATGATGGCAAATCCTTGGCCCACCTGGCCGAGGATGACGTTGGCCATTTCCTCTTTAGACACTTCGTAGTTGTTAAACTCAATTTCACAGTGGCCGTGAGGAGCGTCGTCGTAGCCAAACACGTGCAACGGGCGGACAACACGAGCCTGTCCCAGGGCGAGGGCCTTGTCGACGTCAAGCACAAGCAACGAGTGGTTGAAATAGGGGTTGGCGTCGTCGTCGCCGGTCTTGCACATCGTCAACCACACCTTGCACCGGGGGTCGCCGGCACCCAGGGCGAACCACTTGACGCCGTTGATGACGTAGTTGCCATTTTGGTTAAGTTTGGCCAGGCACGAGATGTTAAGGGCGTTGGACAGAGACGTCCCCTTTTCCGTCATCAAGAACGCCAGGCGGATTTTACCGTCGAGAAGCGGCTGGAGGTAGCGCTGCTTGTGGTAGTCGTTGCCGTACTTGGCAAGAATCTCCATGTTGCCGGTGTCAGGAGCATTGGTGTTGGTAGCTTCAGGGGCGATGTGGCTGCGGCCAAGGTACTGGGCCATAAGCCCGTACTCCAAGTTGGTGTAGCCGGCGCCCTCGGCGTAGTGCTTCAGCAAGAACATGTTCCATAACCCGAGCTCTTTAGCTTTCTTCTTCAAGTGCTCGGTGATGGGGGGCGTTTCCTTCCACCGGCGGTCGTCAGTTCTCACCTGTTGGAAGTAGATCTCGTCGGCGGGGGAGCAGTAAGTGTCGACGAATTCCTTGGTTTTGGCGATGGCCTCAAGCCCGCGGGGGGAAAGCTTTTCGTAAAAGATGGCAGGGATGTCGTCCTTAATCGACATGGTGTGTTTTTGATTGTAGAATTAGCGAGGAGCTCTAGGTGATTTATAACCCCACAAAATCGCAGGGGGGGCGATGAATTATCCTGCAGATAGTACAGAGGACACAGACCGAGGTCCGAACCTGGAGTAACTGGAAAGCGTTGCGTCGATGGCGCCACAAAAAAAATGGCGACTAAATTTTGATGTTAAGAGGGGTTGTGTATTCAATTGATCATATTTCGTATTCATTAAGAAAACTAAATAAATGTAATTCGTCTGATTCAATTGTATGGAGACTCCTTCGTGGGAGTCGCGTTTGTCGCGGTGAGGGCGGGGTGCTGCTAGCGGGTCGGCGTCTGGCCCGATGCCCGAGGCCACAGGTGGGGCGAGACCGTTTAATTTTTGCTTACCTCCCGATTACCCCGATTTAATTGTTGGGGAGTTGCTAGTAGGCGTAATTTCGCATAGCTGCCTAATTCAGATATACACCGTCCCGCACACCTGCCCGATCTAGATACCATCCGAGTGGCGCTGTTGCACGTACTGGAGCGTGTGCTCCAATATCCTAAGCTGGGTATCGATCATTTCCAAATGGTGCTGGCACTCTTCAACCACTTTCCCCCCACCGAGTGCCGCTTCGGTTCGAGTAGCCATCTTTTCAAGGCGAGTTTGCGCTTGTACAAGTTCGCCGTAGTTAGTGGCGATTTCGTCATTTAGTTGGTGGTCAATTTGGCGGTTGACGGCGTGGATGGTATCGATTTTATCGAGCACCGCGGTGCTGGTGGAGTTGGCCTCGACGAGCCGTGCCACCGTGCGCTGGAGCTGCTTCAGGTATGCCGCCAGCTTGCGGAGGTGGTCCGCCTGGCTCGCCTTGGCGTCGTTGATAAACTGGTGCTGCGACATCAAAACAAAACCAAACTCTAGCCCATTAATGGTAAAAACCAACTTACTCCACCTAAAGCGTAGTCAACTTTTTGGATTTTAGATTGTGGATTTGGTCGTAATGGTTATGGTGTTGATCGCGTGCGGCTCAGTACCTGAGGATGGAGGACGAGGATGACGAAGTACACTACGTCCCCGAGATCACGGCCACTAGTTGGCCTCATCGCCGGGGGATTGGTACCCGACTAAACTACGGCGTCGACGGCGAGGTGCTTTTGTCGGTTCCCGGCCGCGGTGCCGACGTCACCGGCGATGCCACCATCCCCCGAGTCCGCGATGGCCCCCGCTTTTTACCCGATCCCAAAGTGGGGGTGATCCGAGAGCCATCGTACCGTGTCGATGTCGGCGAGGAGAGAGACATCCCTCGCTTGGCACTGGGGCTAGGCCTGATTCTGCGGGGGTTATTGGCCGGGGTGCTCGATGACGGGACGCTGACGGCGAAGCCAGTGGAGGAAGCCGGCGCCATCTTTCTGAAACGGTATACAACGTTTGACCCCAGCGACCGGGCGAAAATCGTGTGCTATTCGTTTAATGGCTCCGACCACTACCTTGCATTTACCGACGATACTAAGCTTATCATCACCAAAGCCATATGCGAAGCTACTGAGATCGATGGCCGAGAAATAAGGGTACCCCAGGAACACCGCCAGGTCCAGGTGGTCGAGTTTGGCGACTGGATTCAGGAAGTGAAGCACGAATTTGGTGGAAACCGTCACATCACGTTGCTGGTGCGGTGTCGTAATGCTGGTTATCTCGTCGACATCACCGCTAAAGGGGTGGACAATCTTACCTACGAGACGAAATTCTCGTCGGGAGCGCTGATGGCCGCCATTGAAACTGGTGATATTGGGGTGGTCGAGGCTAACGGGTCGGCCACAGTGTACAATGACATGGAAAAGGTGGTGGCTCAGGGCAAGCTAGATACCGACGAAGTTTCGGGATGGAGACAAGTGTTATACCACGACAACACGTTTTATTTTGCTCTGCGCCAGACGCTCTCGATTGTCGTTGATCGCCAGGTGAAGACGGTGGCGATGTTACCTCAAGACGACCACTTTGTCAACCTTCAGACGGCCCCTAATAACTCCCTTATCATCCTCACTACTGGCGAGTTGATCTGGTACCGGGGAAGAGAGCGGGTATTGTCGTGGGAAGTGTATTACGAAGTGGCCTCCAACCCTCAGGTGATGGTGGTACCAGAAGTTGACGACCCTCAGGAGTTTACAGTGTGGGTACTCTTGGAGTGGACGGTTTTGGTGTATACGTTTGGCTACGATGAACATCAGCGGCCCATTTCCAAAAGAGACCCGTATATGATTGAACATCTGCCCCTCCCCAAGTGTCTGCTGATGGCCTATTTCCAAATCCACCCGGAAGTGGGGATAGTGTATGGCTATGCTAACGGTGGCTCGGTGACGCTGACGTTAGTATCCCGCACAGTAAAGTTCCCCGACCCGGGACCACCCCCAACGCCCCTGCCCCCGCCAGACGCCCCAATGCTATCAAAATACTTTGACAAAATCATGAAATACGTCGACCAGCAACTGCCACCACCGCGGCCCGCCACGTTGGAAGAATATGCCCAGCGGTTGACCAGCTATGCCGACAAGCCCCGACTGGAACCGACCGTCATCCTTGAAGAGATTGTCCCCATTTCCGAAACCACTGACTTTGACGAACTTCAAGATATGTTCACCGAGATGAAACAGTACTTTGCCAGTAAACGGCTCCAGGTTACTACCAGTCCTAAGGACGCCGACGACGCCCCGTTTGCCTACTATTGCAAAAAGTATCCCGACATCCCGCGAGAGCGAATCGCCAAGATGGTGTCGTGTCTGACGCAAGTGATTAATCTCGATCACGTGGCGACCATGGACAAAGAGGACGAGCAATTGGTTGAGTCTAACCCTATTGTTAGTGACCTCATCAGCCGGTGGGGGGATGAGGCGCTTCAGCCGACGACAGTAGCGACGAGGGCGTCAACGGTGCCGGAAACCACGATCATGCCCTCAATCAAGCTCACCCAGACCCAGCCGTCGGCGACCCAGGCGGACGACACTCAGGGGCTGGCGCTGGCGACCCAGACGTCGACGGCTAAACGCAGCATGCCGAGTCAAAAGTCTCGGAAAAAGAAGAAGAAGAAAAAGGGCGGCTTTGCCTGACCCTGGTGTATATAGGCACTTTAGCATCATAAATATTTCATTTTTAATCAATCGAGTGATACAGACAGTTACCACTACTCCATCAAAACTATACCATTCGAATATTAATTTAATCATGAATTCGATTTTTTGAATTTCAAAGTCTTCAATTCTTTCAAAATTATAATTTCAATTTCCTGGTTAGTGTCAATTGAATTCACGGAGTTGTAGGCCGTTTACTGCCATCGCGATTCACGTGACCTCAGGAGATCGGAACGTTTCCCCAGAGCGCCGATTGTAACCGAGCCATCCGATTCCATTCCTAGCTAAACAATCCATGCACTTTACCCGTGTGTTCACACGAAGCCTCTCGCGGACGGGGCTCCGCATTGCGTTTTTTGGCCTGGACGGGTTTTCCGTGGCGTCGCTTCAACACCTTCATAAACTCCACCAAGATCAACCGGGCGTAGTCGATGCTATCGATGTCGTTAGCCGCACAATTAAGCCTACAGGAAGAGGGATGAAACAAAAGAAAGAACTACCCATTGGTGAGTGCGCTCAGGCGCTTGGCCTTACGGTGAGACGTGCTGATAGTGCTGATGATATCATTCGTTTGGGCGACGAAAACGATTATAATATGGTGGTGGCGGTGCTGTACGGTCAGCTTATCCCCGCAGCTTTCATCAGTCGGTGTGAGTATGGTGGACTAAATGTTCATCCGTCGCTTCTCCCCAAATATTCGGGACTGCTGCCAATCCAATACGCCTTACTTAACGATGATTTGGCTACGGGAGTCACCGTACAACTGTTGCATCCTACCAAATTTGACCATGGCGATATCATCGTTCAGAGTGATCCGGTGGCCATTCACGCTCACGATAATTATGCCCTGCTTGCGGAAAGACTTGGTGACCTTGGTGGGCGCCATTTAGCCCTGGTATTGGCTAATCAGTGGTATTTACCTACTCACCCTAGAGTGAAAAAGACTTATGAGTTCAGTTTAGCTCGCAAAATCAAACCAGCTCAGCTCCAGATCAATTGGCACCAGTTAGATCTGAGACAAGTGAAGCGGATGTACGATGCTTTAGGGCCGTTATACACTTATAAATTCGTTGACTTACCCAAAAAGCGGAAGCAGGAGTACCAGCGAGTGATTTTACTGGGTATCACCGAAGCTGATGGCGGCAAAGAGCTTGCTCCTGGTCAATTTGCCATAAACGCAAGTACGGGAAATTTAGAAGTGGGGTGTGCTGATGACTCTAAAATCAGTGTGACTAAGGTGAAACAACAGTGTTGTGAAGAAGAAACCCCGGCTAAGTTTACTGGTTCTCTCCGTAAACGCACGGGTGATACTGACCCAGTGTTCGAATGGAGAGAATCTTAGACACCTAGGGATCTACACAAAATCAAACAAAAACAACGACACACACACACTCGTGAATCAAAAGATTTATCCAAATCAGATCATTTTTAAAGGAGTCTGAAGATAGCAAATATGGAGTAGATTAGCAATTCATGTCATACAATCTAAGAACATAAGAGATAGAAAGTCCAGACCAAATCTTAAGCGGGGTACGATAGCTAACATAAACCAATACGATACGGCTGCGATGACGTAGTTGGAGTCCCCTCGCCACCCCCAAATTTTCCAGTCACGCGCCCATCTTTTTCCAGGAAGAGGCTTCCATGCATTTTTGACACTCTTCGCGGCAATCGTCCCATCAACCACTACGTCATCGCTCGCTTGAGTGAAAAATTGCGTCACTACCTGTACACTGCCACTGCCTCTCTGCTGCCACTGCCCCCTCCTACTGTAATGTAGTTCTAGTGGTGACAGCATTGTCCCATAGAAGTGGGCCCATTTTCCATAAGCTTCGTGAATACGGGGTTCCGACAGTTTACTTTTTTTTCCGTGGTGTGGGGGGCTATTGTTTGCTTCCCCGCCGATTGCGATCGTTATCTTGAAAATTCCCAAACAAAGCCGTAGTTCGGTCTTCCAGATAAACAATGGCGGCGATCGCCAGATTAAAGAAATAGTACGACACGGCAGTACAAGCCTAGCCAGCGACAATAACCATAAACGTTCTATAATCCCCGTAATGCCTCACTTCCTTTAGACGGTATCCCTGCCATCTCCGCGCATCAGACGATGACCGGCTGCGCCCACACCCTGGCACCTGCGCACGTGGCCCGCAACTTGGGGGCAGGGACGCGATTATGGCGTTTATTAAGGCAGGGGGCACAGCGCCACAACTTCAATCTTCTTTAAAACACCGTCCACCAAAATCTACTGGATGGAGGTGCTATCGATCGCGTTTCTCACGTTCCAGGCGGTGCTCCAGGTGGTGATAATATGTGTTGCCGGCTTCATCAGTGCCCGCACGGGTTTACTTAACAAGAACGCCCAGAAGATCATCTCCCAGTTGAATGTTGATTTGTTTACTCCCTGCTTAGTGTTTTCCAAGTTGGCGCCGCTGCTTTCGCTTTCGAAAATGGCCAATTTGGCGGTGATCCCCGTGTTTTTTGTGGTGCTGACGGCGATCTCATATGTGTGTCTGAGGGTGTCGCTGGCGGTGTTAGGGCTTAACCACCCGGAATCGGACTTTGTCACGGCGATGGCGGTCTTCGGTAACTCCAATTCGCTCCCCGTATCGCTCACGATGCTGTTGGCGTACACCTTACCCGATTTGTTATGGGACGATTTACCTAATGATACCGCCGATGGGGTGGCTCTGAGAGGTATACTATACCTCTTGATCTTCCAGCAGTTGGGCCAAGTGTTGAGATGGTCGTGGGGCTATAATAAGCTCATGAAAAAGCGACCTTTACGGGAATTATATCACGATACTCAGTTGGACCCAGACTCGCCAGTATTGGCGCAAATGGCCGAGGAAGAAGCCGCCCTCACCATCGCCCGTCCCCTGCCTCCCATGGGCGCTGGTGAACGCCTGCCGTTGATCCAGTACTCGCTGGACGAAGAAGTGGCGATTGAGAGAGCGACGTTTGACGATGACGATCTGGCCAAATACGCCGACGCCACCATCACCATTACCCCCAGAGAAAGCCGCATATATCGAGTGTGGAAAGGGTTTGTTTCGTGGATGAACCCGCCATTGTGGGCAATGGTGGTGCTGATTGTGGTGGCACTGGTGCCGGCGTTCCAGTCAGCGTTTTTCACTCCGGGGACGTTTGTCAATAATACGGTAACGATGGCGATTAACCAGCTTAGTCTGGTACTGATTCCCTTGATTTTGATCGTGTTGGGGCTGAATTTAGCCCCCTCAACTGACGTCCCCCCCGCCACTAAACGTTACCATAAGATCATCATCGGGTCGCTCATGCTGAGAATGATCCTCCCCCTGATTATTTTGCTCCCCATCATCGCCTTATGTGTCAAATACATCAACGTGCTGATCCTCGACGACCCCATTTTCTTGATTGTGGCGTTTATCTTGACGGTGGCGCCACCAGCGATCCAGCTCTCGCAGATCACCCAGTTGAACAACTTGTACCAGCAGGAGATGGCGGGCATTTTATTTTGGGGCTACGTGGTGTTGACGTTGCCCACCACCATATTCATCGTGGTGACGTCATTGGAGGTCCTCAAGTGGGCCTTGTAGATATGTGCATTAATACTATCATATTGGATACTAATTGTAGTTTACCCCTATCGTCAGCGACTACTTCCAGCGACAATCTGATGCTTTACCACTACTAAAAAAAAAAAAAGAAACGGCTAGTGTGTCATTAGGCCAAGATCAGGTTTTCCGTTTTTGATGTGAACCTAATTAACACCTAATTGAGTAAACGGTCACTAGCCGACGTCTCCCCCGCCTTGTAACGAAAATCGCCAGGCGAGGCTGACAATTACACCCCGTAATTTTTTACAGAATTGTCACTAGCCACAACCTGGGCGACCCACGTTTTTCCCCGTTGCGAGCCCCCAGTCGTATCCATGACGTCCCGCAGCGATGACTTTAGGTGTCTGTGCACACCAATACCCCACGTGTGGAAGGTGGCTGCTGCTAGGCGGACAAGTCACTCATATAACCGTTAGGGTTGCCATCGCGTGGTACTACTACATTAAATAAAAATAGGGACAGACAGTGATCGATCCGCTAACTCCGACACTCACTTACTTCAGTTTCCTTCACATATAAACTGAGGTCCGTTCGCGCCCTATTGTTTACCTGGGAGAACAAGACCAGTCTTTCAATGGAGGAGACGACGCCGCTTGTGGGCCACGGGAAGCGGCCGGAGCGGCTCGAGAAGCAGGCAAAGCCTCGACGAACCCTGTGGCAGTGGCTCCGGTGGGTATTGGCATTGGTGGCGGCGATGGCGATGATGGCGGTGGTGGTTATAGCGCCGGCGCTTATGGCCCCGCCCGCCGTCCGCCTCCACGATATCGCCCGTATTGCCAATCTTACCGATTACGAAACGTTAACTGGAGGCCGTCTTATCGTTGTCGGTGATATCCACGGCCTGATTAGGCCGCTCAAACGGTTGATGGCCAAAGTTCAATTTGACCCTAACCGCGATAAATTGGTGCTGCTTGGCGATTTTATCACTAAAGGAGAAGACCTGATTGCCGTGCTTGACTATTTAATTGATAACCGGGCTGAATGCGTGTTGGGTAACCACGAATACTCGGTGCTTGAGCTTTACACGGAGTACTGGAAATTGCCGCCACCTCACTTCTCGGGAGTTGACGATGATCACGCCCAGGTTGAAGGGCGTAAACTGGAATTGAAGCTTGCTAAAAGACTCAGACCCCGCCACATTAAGTTCATCAATCTGTGCTCGGTGATCAAGCGGTTGGGGACGTTGGCGCTGGGGTACCCGGCCATCGCCGTCCACGCCGGTGTCCGTCCCGATTTACCCTTGGACCAACAACCTCCTAATGAAAACTTGGAGATGCGGGCGTTGCTCAAACCTGACTATAAACGGCTGACGAGCGACACTGATGCTGAAGGGGCCGTCGCCTGGCTGAAGATCTACAATAAGCAAATGAAGCTGGAGCCGAAATCGCAGCGCACGGTGGTATTTTATGGCCACCACGCTGCGGCAGGGCTCAAGTTGAAGAAGTACACTAGGGGGCTTGATACTGGGTGTGCTAAAGGCGGCCAATTGACGGCGATGGTGATTGATCATGGCGTCGAAGAATTGGTTCAAGTGGATTGTTAAGTGGTGAAGCGCTACATAATCATAAAATCATAATGATCATTTATACGATTTCGATATTAGTTTATTAACAATTAAGTTTGTCTAGTCGAGAACTAGAATCCCCTTCCAGAGGGGAGTAGTGTGCACATTCGATAATGTGGACTCAAACACATAATCAGTAGAAAACAGTACATCGACGCCACGGTGCGCTTATTTCCCCTTCTAATGCTTAAGACGTAGAAACGAGGTGGATTGGTCAAACATGAGAAGGCTGTCATTTAGCGGACGACACTTCTTCCAAACCGATTTGAATATCGATGACATACTTCACTTATTGACAGCAGTAGTCTATCATTGATACATCACATTCAAGAAATCGTGCTCACTGGTTACAACCTGTATAACCATTTAGGCATCAATGTCACCGGCAGGAGGACGTCAAAGTGAAGGAGCTATACGAAATGGCATTAGCGTATTTGGTTCAGCTCGTGAGAGCTTTGGGAGCCAGGTAGCATTCGGAATCATAAGATGATGGCGGAGGTAGAGTACGAGGAACACACGTCAAATAGAATAATCGCCACTGACCAGCAGAAGGGGATCCACGTGCTCATACTCAACTCACCGGCACGATAAATGGCACCGACGATAAGGCCAATGATTGCTCCCAGGACAAACCCTTTGAAAAGACCAACAAACGCATAGAGCAGTACCACCAATAACGCCTCCAATAGCATCCATACCAGCACTTTCAGCCGCTGGCGTGATTTATTAAACAACAGGGCTGCCAGAGCGACCACTCCTGCCAGGCAGTAGAGCCCTCCAGAAAGGATAAGCCCCCAGAACACCGTGAACTTCCAGATATCGATGCGGTAGTAGAGGAACGATACTTGGTAGTGGGAGTTGTCACGCCCCACTGGCCAGTATAGCGACGGGAATTTTGGGGTGGTGTAGCCGATGGGCACGTTCTGGGACGATACAAACACCTTCATGGTGGGGTACAAGTGGTGGTGTGTATGGGGCTTGTCAACTCCTGAGTGCGACGTAGTTAATAGTGCTTCGAGATTGACACAAACGGGAAACGATGACTAGATAATGTAATCAAAAGAGTTTGGGAGTGGTTTGTCGAGGTATTATTACATGAGAAACGAAGTCATAGTAGTGAAGTTTTAGACCAAATTGTCATTTAAGGTACGCCAGCCATGGTAAGTGCGGGTGGTGGTGTTAACATTTGTGGATGTTACTTGATTTGAAATTAAATAGGGCAAAGAATGGTTCATAAGGTACACTTGTTATGGTAGCATTGAGGGTAGATGCAGAAGAGATGAATAAAGATGTGGAATCGTCTTGCTGAGTGGAATGTTGATAGTTGCCCTAACTCAACGCCTGACTCGATCATCTTGCTCTAGAATACGTCTACTTAAAAGATAAACTGTGAAATCATCTTACTTTTGATTACCAGTTTTGGATTGATCGAACTCACAATAGTAAGGTAATCTATGCCTTGCACGATGTACAAAATTAGCCATCATATTTAGATTTTAACAACAGATCATGTAATGCACTCAGAGCTGATTTCTTTTACTTGTCAATGAAAGAAGTAACGTAAACCTCATTCATGGCCTCAACAAATTCCATTAAGTTGTCAAATAAGCCCACTTAATCGTCGTATTAAACGTTAATTCAATTTTTCTTTGCCAATTTACCCTCTAGCTCCAATCTAAAGTGGACCCTACACTCATCAGATCAATTTCTTGTCATCTACTAAATGTTTTTGCGTTTCCCCAGATTGTCTCTCTCCCACTCTACTAAGGGGATTTCGCGCGAGATGAGCATCGCGTATCCATGGTCCACCGACAGCTGAAGACGGCGAAGCGGCTGGCGACGCAGAACAAGAAGCGGGAAAATGAGCTGGAGGTGTACTCTGATGGCGCTGCTCGTAACTTGATGGCGCTGACGCCGAAACTCACTCCCAAGAAGGAGAAGCGGGCGCCGCTGAAAGAGGCGATCAAAAAGCGAGAGGCGAAGATCCGCCTTTACGGGGCCACCAACGGCACTAAATACTCGGAAACTCAGTTGGCGGTGCCCCAGCTCAATATGGCGGTGACCCCGGGTGTCAAAGCTAAGCGGGGGAAGAAGGGGAAGGTGTTTGTCGACGACCACGACCTGCTCTTGATGAACCGGTTAGTGAAGAGCATCAACGACAAGTACGATAGCGTCAACGAGCTGAAACTTGAGAAGCTGAAACGGCTCGAGGACTTGCGGGCGTTGAAACGCCAGGAGCTCGAACGCAAAGAACAGGCGAAGCAGGATAAGCTTGAAGGTAAAAAGAGCGAGCTTCGTCTGAAGGCGCTGGTGGCCCGGGCGGCGCGGCGGAAGCTGGCCAAGGCGAGACGGAAGGAGGAAGAAGGTGACGGTGACGACGATAATGAGTCGGCGCCGAAACGGAAGAAGGTATCGTTTGCTTAGATTATATGTGTTTGGTTTACGTAATATATATTATGGGTACACTCGAAGCCTTGCCCCCAGGGCAACGACTCAAATATGAATTAGTGGGTCACCCCATATTGTCCAACTTGTCGCGGAAGGTGTTGTGGCAGTTTAAGCACACGTAAAACAAGATCATACTGGTGTCCTTGCGTTTCTGTTGCGACTGGAAGAACACCGCCTCCCGGTTACCGCATTTAGGACACTCTTTGTCCAGTCTCGGCAACGTCGGGTCGGTGCCGATATCCTGGACGACGCCGGCGGTCTCGCCGATGTTGGTGATGAGCTCGTGGCGGTAGACCTTGGGGTTTTCCGCGAGCTCGGTGTAGCCGCAGTTCCGGCACAGGTAGAGAAGCCGCTGCTCCTGCTTATCCTCCTTGGGATAGAGCATGTTGTTGCACTCGGCACAGAACCGGAACGACGCCATGGGGTATGGTGAAGATGGTGATGACGGTCGACGTTGGTGAGCGCCCTCTCGCGTCGCGAAAAAGTGGCGGCGAAGCGCGGAGAAGCCGTTAGATTGAGAGCGGCCACCAGTAGCGATGCTACCACCAGAAAAACCGGGGTGGGTAGTGTATTGTGCTAGTGGGAGACATAATTAGATTATTAGCTCTTTAAAAGAATTGGAAGTCACGTCTTCTAGGTATTGATATATCTAGATCTGAACTAAATTATCTTTAATTATTTCCCACACTGATCATATCGTTGTATGATAGAACTAAACCACACCCCTTCAATCAAAGTAAATCACTTTTTCACCATTAATTATTCCGGTTGTCTATTTGTTGTATTTGTTGTTGTATTGTTTGATTCAGCGTTGGTGGCTCGCATTTTTCCCATCGTGCGAGCGGTGGAAAATTTTATCTACCAAGGATCCTTTGGCCGCTATGATCAGACAAGCCCTCAGACCCGCGACCCGTATTGTTGGCACTCCTGCTCTTAGAGCCTGTGTGCGGTTCAACGCCACCGCCGCCGACGCCGGCGCCGCCTCGCTGGCCGCCGCCCCCGTCGACCCCAAGATCGCCGCCATTGTCGACCAGATCTCGACGTTGACGCTTTTGGAAACCTCGGCCCTCGTCACCGAATTGAAGACGAGATTAAACATTTCCGACATCGCCTTGCCCGCTGCCGGGGCTGCCCCCGCCGCCGCCCCCGCCGCCGAAGCCGAGGCCCCTAAGGAAGAAGTGGAAGAAAAGACGATTTTCTCGATCAAGTTGGAATCGTTTGACGCCAAGGCCAAGCCCAAGATCATCAAGGAAGTGAAGACGCTTTTGGGGTTGTCGCTCGTCGAAGCCAAGAAGTTTGTCGAGGCCGCGCCCAAGGTGTTGAAGGACAACGTCGCCAAGGAGGACGCCGACAAGATCAAGGCGACTTTGGAAGGCTTGGGGGCCAAGGTGGCGCTCGAATAGGCGTGCTCAGTTTTCTTGTACATAATCAATCACATCTTAGAGAAAGACACTTACATCTAAGGATTGTCCACCGAAGGGTGGACAATCCAAAAATTGAGTAATACTCACCCACCTTAATCAACTGCGTAACATTTTAAGGATTCTGACTTTCATTTCATTTTTCTTCAATATTTCAAAATATGGCCAGAAGTTTGATTAAGACCATAATATCCTCGAATGTTTTTGAAATCATAATCTTCGATACAATCTAATTATATCAACTTTCTTACTTTCCTTCTTCACCTTACTCCTATGTGGTTGTCTCAAATAAAGTTGCGTCCATGAAAGCTATGATCTACAAATATCATGAATACCTAAAAGTCGAATTTGATAGGTACGAGACTAGTTGAGATTGTAGGTGGTTGGTCATTGATTGGTCTGTTATACATAATAAATAGGTGATGCTTAATGTGTTGTTCGTCACGTCGTTGCGTTTAATCCTTTTTGTTGCGTCGCCACGGCACGATGGGAGTTAAATCGGGCATGGGGATCGGGTGCTGAGTGATATAAGAGTTGGTTTTCGTCACCACCCCCGCCCAGGCGTTGTACCAACCGACGATGGCCGTGATTACCCCCATGACGCCGCCGGCGCGGGTGACGCCAACTTTACCGGTAAGCTCGCCGGCTCCGAGTAAGGTGAACGTGATCGCCAAAAACAAAAAGAGGAGGAAGAAGGCAAGCGTCGATCTGATCGTCACCAGCGCTAGCATATAAGTGACCAACGCCCAGCCGATTAAATAAAAGCCAATGGCATTCAGCAATTGGTCGGGGGCATCGGCGTAGCCACTTTTAGGGCCAGAAATGCCGAACGCGGGCACTAAGATGGCGGCGTAGGAAAGCCAGAAGGCGCCGTAGGAACAAAGAGCAGTCAAACCAAAAGTGTTACCGGTATAGAATTCCCAACAGCCGGCGAGGAATTGCGCTGCCCCCCCGTAGAAGCAGGCGGCGCCGACTACCACATTGGGCACTTTGATCCCCATCGCCTGCGCGTTATATAACGACAAGCAAAACGTCAGGAAAGCGAACGCCGCCAACCCTAGGGGAGCCGGATTGACTTCATAGTTTTTATAGGGAGCTAAACCGGGGTTCAACGTACCCCCGAAAGCCTGTTGCAACTCCAGGGTGCGGAACTTGCGGTTGCCAATGATGACGTATTCTCCCGTCTTCGTCATCTGGATCAGGGTGACGGGCATCAGGTGGTGCATCAGGTGGTACCCCGAGGTGGCGGTGCCGGCACTGGCGACGGACTCGGTGTCGGACATCTGGGGTGTGGGGTCAGTCGTAAAAACCTTAAAGTGAGGCAGGCGCCGGCGCCGGCTTATATAAATACGTATACGACGTGTCGGGCCATCGAGGATTATGTCGGCGAGTAAATGTCGGCTCCGATGGTGCATGCTGTGTAAGCACCGTTGGGTTTCCCGCAGATACGCCAACAAATGACGGTTCTTCTATTGGTAAGAGAGGATAGATTTATACGGTTTAAACTCTTCTATCAGAAGAAATGGAAAGGAAATGGAGGGCTTATGGCATTGGAAACTTCCACCTTCGGCGGGAGTCTGGGGGGCCGGTCTCCTCGGAGTAAATGTCGTTTAAGCGATCTTACTGGCATCGCGCAGGTGCATCATCCAAAGCGGGGTCGAAAGCGGGGGTGGCATCCGCAGTATCCGCAGCTAAATAAGCTGTGACAGGTAACGGAAACTCCGACGCCGAGTACGTCTCCTGCGACGCCTAATTAAATCTGATAGCTTCTATAAGGGGTTACCCTGATAGCTCCAAAGCAGCTTGTCTTAGTGTCATGTCGCGTGACGGGACTCGAACGTCCGGCGATCCTTGCTGTTTACGGTGGGGTTAAGGGGCTGACTTTGTCAATGGTGCTTTTTTTTTTTTTCGTGAATAATGGTGCATTTTTTCGTGAATAGCGGTGCATTTATTGTGAATAATGAGCTTTTTTTCTTCTACCCTAACACTATCGTTAAATCACGCCAAATTACTAATCCTCGTATAACGTAAGAGCAGACACATAAGGTTATCGAGAACCAAAACTGGACGGAAGGAAAATACGTCGGTGACGATGTCGGTGACGATGTCGGCCGAGAATCGGCTAACCCTAGAAAAAATGTTTATGCCCGACACTTCCAGTTTTTGCCCTTCAGCTCCAAAAGCGGCAACGACGCCCCTAAACACCACCCGATTTCGAAGCCGCCGATCTTCTGGGCCGTCTTCACTTCGCGGGCGAGGGGGATATCGTAGCCAGTGTGCAATAACCCGGTGATGATCGACAAGTCCATACACCAGAACGGTTCCTTGTTGAGTTCTTCCTGGGCCTCTTTGGCGAATACCGACGCCAGCTCGGCGCCGCCACACACGTCACGAGCCAAATCGCGGAGTTCCTCGACGGTGAAGTCCAGCGGGAACCCGAGCGGGTTGGTGCGGTCGTAGAAAAATGAGAACACAAACATGTCGCCGTGCTTGTCAAACAGCTTAGAGAGTAACGGTTGGTGAACGCCGTTGAAAGAACAGGGGCCGACGTTACACTCGGCGTCTTTGGCGAAAATCAGCTCCACTAAACCTCGACATAACCCGCCCAGGTGCAGTTTACCACCAACAAACTTCACGTGGTAGTATTCGTCTTTACCAAATTCAACGACTTTAGTGGTTTCGGTGTTGGGAGGCAAACACGCGTTGGTGATTTCGACGTTGTCAGCGGCGGCGGCCTCCGCTTGTTTAGCCAGTTGGTGCTTGGTAAGCTTTTCGGTGCCGAAATTGGTGACGATGGCCTTGTTAATCTTATTTCTCGCTTCGTTAAGCCCGTAGCCCAAGTGGGAATATTCGTAGAGGGAGTAAGTGTGGCCACCAAACTCGAATTTGCGTTCCATATCCAGTTTAGCCACGGGGTGGTCGGGTTTAGGTTCAAACACAATTTGCGTCAGACCGCCACCAAGATCAAACACGGCGGCAGTGGCTTCCTTTTCCGCCGTACCAATCGTACCAAGCAACAAGTTAGTGGTGATCCAGGCGTAGTAGCCTTCGTCGCTACCGTCCATCACTTCGATACCGTCGGTACCTTCGACGACGGCAAACGGGTATTTCGTCTCTAAATGAGATCTCACCGCCAGTAAGATCGCCAGCGATTTCTCCTCACCAAGCTTACGCAAACCGGCGGTGGCTTTCACGGCAATGGGAGTACACGCTTGTAAATGTTTCGGGACAAACGCCACCGCCAGGTCCAATAACGGGTTGAGCGAGTTGGCAGCGCCTTCGGCATCGGTGTCAAACGACGACAAACCGGGCTTAAGCATCTTAAAGTCCTCAGCGAGCACTAGAGGAGGCAGCTGGCACACATCGAACTTATACGTGTGTACTCTCAGCCCCAGCGAACCGGCGTCAATCATGATCACGTACTGCTCACAGTCACCAGAAGCTGGCTTTTTGGCAGACTCAGGCTTAGTCTCGGCGACAGGCTTAGTCTCGGCGACAGGCTTAGTCTTGGCGTCAGCCTTAGTCTCGGCGACGTCCTGAGGCTTTTGCGGCAACTTATCGGCAGAAATAGCGTCGTTTAACTTATCCGCTTTAAGGGCATCTTGTTTCGGATAGGGAGGAGTATTTCCTTCCGGAAGCTTTGCGCTGGGCTCGTCGCCGGGCGCCGAATCAAACACGTCAGGAGTATGGACGGTGGCGATGTGCGGGGCCAGCGCCGCCAACTGCTTTCTCTGGGTGACCAAGATGAGGGCGACGGTCAACAAGGCCACGAGGGCCATCACCACACGGAAGTTACGGGTGGCAAGCAAGTTCATCGCCGGGGAAAGACGGTGTAAACGAAAAAATTAGGGTATCCACGTATATACGAAAAAAAAGAGGTTTTGTTAGCGTGTCGCGTTTTTTTTGCTGCCACTGTGAGAAAAAGGAATGGGAGCCATGCAGAAAAAGGCTCGAAAAGACACGAAATTTCGCGGGGGCGGCACCAAATGTCTCAGGTGGACATTGCTTAATGGCATTTATTAGACAAAACTATGAAGAAGAAATTTCACGGTGTTATTTCTTTTGCTGGGGATGATGAACAGCGTCTATTTAGAGGGAATGTGTCACAATTTTCGTTGACAAAACAACGGTAGCTACCAACTCGTATTTAACCCCTGAGTGATGCTTACACACTGGCATTCTGCTAGCCTTATTTTGGGCGAAATTTGGGAGAATTTGACTACTCCCAGTGTAAATGATGCTACCTTAGTACTATTACAGGCGTAATTTTAGTTCTTGTAACAATATTGAACGTGTCGTTGGCATTGGTCACCATGGGAACCATGACAAATATCTCCACTAAACGTGGTGATATGGCACTGTAGCCAGCACAGTGTATTACCCTAACCATCAAACATGACCACAACACACTATTTGGCCCTAACTCTGTTGGTAATGACTAAAAGTTATGGCTCTTTTTCACCAACCACGTTCCAAAAACCACACCTCAATTTCAAATATCGCCGCCCGCGTGGCCCAATGGTTAAGGCGCTCGACTTCTAATCGAGCGATTGTGGGTTCGAATCCCGCCGTGGGTTTAAAGCATCCTTTTTTTCGCACTCGTTCATTTTCATCGGCGTGTCAAAGGGGGCTAAGCCTCACTGCACCACGTCGCCGGCGATGCCCTCGCGGTATACGCGCAGCACGTACACGCAACGCAGTGTGCCGATAAAGGCGAGCCGCCCCCGTCCGAAAGCAGTAACCGGGCGCCGGTTCAGGTACCGCCCCAACCATCAGTTAAGGCGTCACATTTTTTTGTGGACGCCCTAATTGGTCCCCACGTGATCTGCCGCCCTGGCCCCCTCAAAATCATTGGTATTGTGCCCCGTTGCATGATCGGCGTGATCCGTATCCGTTTTGCCGTCATTCGGTGACTTACCACAGTTATCCGCTGACAAATGGACCACATGGTGTCGCTAGTCGAAAGTAGCGGCAGCTGTAAGTAGATGGCGGCAGTGTGGTCGGAGTTTAGGCTCCGGCACCGCGTCCAAGCGGGTGCGCACAGCGTCAAAGAGATAGGGTCTGTTAACTGCCGTTGTAGCTGTGTTTAAAGTGATTGTTAATGATGATTAATGATGATTAATGATTGTGCTTAGTATGTTTCATAGTACTTTGAAAAAGTAAATTGTCGGGAAAAGAAAATGGGTACTGGGTGAGACAGTGGCTGGCACTCTCAGACACATGTTTTCCTCCGCGTCGCCCACTACACTAGACGGACGCTAATCATATGGTGAATTAAACAGAGAATACTAGCAAAATTAAACTTATCTAATACCGTAATAGATAGAGAGTGATGTCTAGATAGTTATCATACCACTTGTGTAATCATTTGGCCATCTTCGATGGCCCTATCTGGTGTGTCTCCAGTCGGCATGGTAGCGCGCGCAGCAACTTATTTCCCAGGCAAAAGCGGGCGCCGCCCTCGATAAACTAATTTCCATAACCAACTACCGAGATGGGCGACAAACAGCCCAACGTGCTGCTGCCGGCGCCGCCGCCGATCCTGCTGCTGATGCTGCTGGACATCCAGGCCCGGTTGCTTGCGTTCCAGAAACTGCGCAACCCGGAGGCGGCGCTGCCCGTGGGGTCGTTGCTGAGGCTGCTGCTGATGAACGCCGGCCGCCCTCCCCTGGCTCCCCCCCTGGATATTGGAGATGCTGGTATTGATGCCGGGGTCCACATTCGTCCCCACGCCAATCTGGAGCCGCAACTTCCCCCGACAAACCCTCCTTTGGTCAAGAAACCGTCGCTTTCTCAAAGACGGGGGATGAAGCTTGATATGAGTGAACTCGCTCAAACCAAGCCTATCGCGCCTGAGCTGAAACTGGACCTGGCGGTACCGACCACCACCAACGGAAACAAACGCAAATTCAACCTCAAATTGCCGCTGGCGCCCGCGGTGCCTCAATCGCCTTCGAAAGCTACAAATACCGATTCTAATGGCAACGGGGCCCCGCTGTTGTTTGACCTGTACAAAAAGTATATTGATATCCAGCTGGGAGAGCTCAAATTCGCCGGAAAAGCTCTGCTTCACTCGAAAGGGGTCGACTTTAGTAGCGGCCATCTGTTTCGTATTTCACTTGACGAACTCGAATACATCGAAGAAATTGGCCGTGGTAACTATGGCTGCGTGCTGAAAGTATTACATAAGCCTACGGGGGTGACGATGGCGATGAAAGAAGTGAGACTTGAACTTGACGAGACCAAATTCACCCAGATCTTAATGGAATTGGACGTGCTTCACCGGTGTACGCTGCCGTATATTGTTGACTTTTACGGTGCTTTTTTTGTCGAGGGAGCAGTGTACATGTGTATGGAGTACATGGACGGCGGCCTGTTGGATAAGATTTATGGCCAAAATTATGGGGTACAAGACGAACAGCTGTTGGCGTATATTTCCGAGTGTGTGATCCGGGGCCTTAAGGAGCTTAAAGATACTCATAATATCATCCACCGCGACGTCAAACCAACGAATATTTTGGTCAATACTCAGGGGAAGGTGAAGTTGTGCGATTTTGGCGTATCGGGTAATTTGGTGGCGCTGTTGGCTAAAACCAATATTGGTTGCCAACTGTATATGGCTCCCGAACGCATCTATACTGGTTCCAACCCGATGGACCTGACATATCTGGTACAACTGGACGTATGGTCTCTTGGGATTACCATACTAGAAATTGCCTGTGGCCACTACCCTTACCCGCCAGAAACTTACGGCAATATCTTTTCCCAATTACTGGCGATTGTCGATGGTGATCCGCCCAAATTGGATAGCGGTCGGTTTACGGAGTTGGCGCAAAACTTCGTCAACCAGTGCCTCCAAAAAAATCCGGATACGCGGCCGCTGTACTCTGAATTGCTAGCTAATCCGTGGCTTGGAGGGTATAAGCACGAGGAGTGCGAGGCGGCGTTGGCGCTGGAGGTGAACTGCCGCCAGCAACGCGGCAAAAGTGGTGGTAGTGGTGGTAGTAGCGTGGCGGCGCTGGCGCCTAAGCCGCCGCAGATGGCGCTGGCGATTCTTAAGAAACCGGTGGTGGCGCAGGGACGACGCCCGGCGCCGTCGTCGTTGGCTCAGAATAGAGGGTTTGGTAGATAATAGACATTGGTTTGGATACCACAAGGTTTGTAGCCCTGGGTTGGCTTAGCGAACGCGGTTACAAGCAACTACCACTACCAGTAGCAATCAACCTAGGTAGTGACCAAACACTCGGTTTTGTGTGTTTCAGAATTATAGTAGTGAAATCCCTGATACTCTGGTTTGATAGTATTACTTAGTTCATCACAATTTGGATGGGTTAGTCACCTGGTCCGTTCTGTTTACCCCTCGTAAGTATCGTTCGCATGCGTCTTTCCGGTCACAAACGCCATCGTGTATGAATTCTGAGATCTCCCATGATTCAGGTAGTGTTCTGGGTGATTAAGCTTTGCATAGCCTCTAATATGTGACACATAATGAAAACTTAACAAATATAAATTAAATTCAAAACTATTCCATCGTTTTATTTTCTATTCCTGTTCTTATTTTTATAGTTTCCTTCATTTGGCTACGCCTGGTTTCAGCCTTCTGGTGGGCACACGACGGCAACTGCGCGGCGCGTCGCAAAAACAAGTCTCCCCTAAATTCCAATAAGCCAACCAAGGCCCCATTGCTCCCGCCAATTCCCCTTCAACGAGACCTTTAGTTGACTTGCGGACACTTGCGTTCTTGTGTTGATCATGGACTTGAACGCTGCTGCCGCTGCCGCGGGGCAGAAACCCGACCTGGCCAACCCGGAAGAGATGCTTGCCCCGCCGCCCCAGGCCCACGTCGAGCGCGAGAAGGACATCACCGACACTTTGGAGCTTGCCGAGGATACCCGGAATTTATCGCTAGACCCCACGGTGAAACAGGCGCAGACGAAGGACGGGGCGGGCCCGCTGTACGTGCTGGCCGACGCCGTCAAACAGAGAGCCCACCACCGCAGTGCTCCCAAACAGCCGCCGCCGCCGACGCCAAATGCCACCAACGGCAATACCAATGCTACCAATGGCGATTCCTACCCCCTGCCGCAATTGGCACCGGCGCAATCGGTGCATTCGTCGTCGTCTACCCCGAGAATCGAGGTTCCCTTGGGTGCCGCCTTCGGGTCGCTGCCCCGTTCCCGCGCCAAACTGGGGTCAATTGGAACTAGTAATGGAAATAGTGGAGCACCTGTCATTCCCGAATTTGACCTTCTGAAGCCTCGGAGCAGTCGTATCCAACACCCCGCCGGTGGTGCCGCTCATTTCCCGTCATCTCCCAGCGGTAACCCTCCCGCTACCCCTACTCAACCACGTGCTACCAACGGTGCTAATGGCGTTAGTGTACCCCCATCACCAGCGACGTCAGTACCGGGAGGCATCTTCACCCCCATCCAAGCCAAACAGGCGAGCACTCCTACCCAGACGCCCAAACAGACCCCCACTCAACCAATTGCGGCCAACCAAGCTGCCGGAGCTGCCCCTGCTGCTGCTGGAGTGGCACAGGCGCCCGTTTACGCGCCGTCGCTGCTGCTGCTGAATGGCCAGGACCCGCTGCTGCGGCTCCAACCGCTTTCCAGCCGTACCACTGTCGCCAGCGACTCCACCAAATTGAGACAGCGTCCTCTGGCGGCCACTACCGCTAATAACGGCCAAGTTAACGGCACTAACGAGGCGAGAGCGGTGGCGCTGGGGTCGCAAACTCCCACCACTGTTAGCAAACAACCGCCTCCTCCGGCTGATGTTGACGTCGATAACCCTTTGGCAGTGCTGTCGCAACAAGTTCAGAGGGGGCAAGTGGACGAAAAAGGTCCCCAGCCGGATTTAGTACCGTCAAAGGACTTGGATATGCTGAATATCACTACTAAACCCCCGCCGTTGTTACCGCAAATGCCTACCTACCGGGGTTGGAGAGAAGTGGGGCACTTTGAGTCCGACGACGTCATGACCGCCGAGGACTACCAGTACGATTTAACCCTGAAATCGTCATTTTTCGATACCCAACTCCCTCTGAAGTTGTTTGGGGAATGGTACCATAACGTCGGCTGGCTTGCCATTGGGGCGTTTTTCCTGTGGTTCTGGGGTTACTTCTACTTCTCCCTTGGTCCCGTATTCTTTGTCGTGTTAGTATGTCTGGTATTCTACCGGCTGAGTGTACGCAAATACCGGGAACAGATCCGGGAAGAAGCGCAACGTGAGTTTCTGATCAAGCAGATTGAAACCGACTACGAGACCATCGACTGGTTCAACTTGATGGTGGAGAAGTTCTGGTACTACTTGGAACCGCTGATCTCGCAGATTGTGTGTGAACAGATTAACGCCACTCTCGTTACTCTTCCCGTGCCTGATTTCATTATGAAATTATGGATCGATACGTTTACCGCCGGTACCAAACCGTTCAGAGTTAACCGGGTGAAAACGCTCCAGGGGACCGCTGACGATGTCGTGGTGATGGACTGGGAATTCTCGTATATTCCCAATTCGTTGGTTGACCTTTCCGCTAAGCAATTGAAATCAACGGTAAACGAAAAGATCACCGTGAAGACTTCGTTGTTTGGCGTTACTATCCCCGTCACCGTGCTGGACGTGCTGTGCCGTGCCATCGTCCGTGTCCGCGTGAGAATGATGGAGCTGTTCCCCCATATTGAGACGGTGAACGTGCTGTTGTTACAACCCCCTAATTTCGATTTCGTTTGTCGTTTGTTTGGTGATACTTGTTTCAACTTTGAGGTGCTTGACTTCCCCGGTATCTTCCCCTTCATCAACGAAATGGTGACCAAATACGTCGGACCCATGGTCTACGCTCCCATGCTGTACCAGTTAAACATCCAGCAATTGCTTGCCGGTAACGCGTTGGACTCGGCCATTGGGGTGCTTTGTATTACTGCCAACTACGGTAAGGATATTCGGGCGATTGCTTCCATCAACAATACCATGGACCCGTACTTGACGTTCTGCTTTGATAAACGGAAGGTGTTGGCGAAAACCAAAACGATTATGGACACGCTGAACCCGAAATGGAACCAGACTTTTTACATTCCGGTGAAGCTGTTGGCGGATCCGTTAGTCGTGCAATTATTCGATTATAACGATTTCCGCCTGGACAAGTTGGAAGGTATCGTGCAAATGGACTTGGAATTCTTGGAGAAGGACCCGGTTCAACAAAACGTCAACCAGACGATCACGAGAAATACTAAGCCGGTGGGGACATTAAACTTTGATCTCCAGTACTTTAAGTGTGAAGAAGCCACCATGGGTCCCGACGGTGCCATTACTCCTCCTCCCGACTTGAACACGGGTATTGCTCGTATCAACGTTGCCGAAGCCCGCCACTTGAAGCTTGACGAAAAGGAGAAACCGCCTAATGTCCAGGCGCTTGTGTACCTCGATAACGAACTTGTCGACGAGCTGGAGTTCGTCAAGCTGGCCACTCCCGGATGGAACATGATTGACGAAAAGATCGTGTCGTCGCGACTGAAGGCTAAGCTTAAGGTGGTGCTTAAAGATAAGCTGGGTAAGAAGTTGGGTGTCGTGCTGAAGTACTTGAACGAGTACATCGACGCTCTGCAAGTACAACAGCTGTGGTTCTCGCTTGCCTCCGGTGGTGAAGTGAGAATTGAAGTCCAATGGAAACCGGTGGAACTTGATATCGGTGACCCCATATCGTTTACTCCCCCGATCGGGGCGGTTAGAGTGTCGATTGACCGCGCCGAAGACTTGCGTAACTTGGAGACCATCGGCAAGATTGATCCCTACGTGCGGGTGTTTGTTAACGGGGTGTACAAGACACGTACTCGTGCGTTCAATGGTAACTTGAACCCATCGTGGAATGAGGTTCACTACGTTACGGTGTCGCTGGCTAATCAGAAGCTTACCATCGAAGTGATGGACGTTGAACGCCACTCGCCCGACCGGACGTTGGGTCAATTTGATGTCCAACTCAATGAGATTATCCAGAGAGATGAAAAGGGGCAATACGTCGAACACCAAGACACCACCAAACGTGTTTCTAAATTGATCCATAAGAAGGGGGTCAAGGGTCAGGTGACCTACTCCCTTTCATTCTTCCCTTGTCTCCCGGTTAAGACCCTTCAAGATATCCGTGACGACGAATGGGAAAAGCAACACGAAGCCGAACAACGGGAACGGACGCAAAAGCGGAAACAGGAGATGGACGACATCAAGGAACAGATCAACCACCACCACGGCCACAAGAAGCACGTGTTACAGCGTCGTTTGGCGCGGATGGAGAAGCTTGGCGGCGGCGCTGACGATGCTGCTGAAGACGAAGCCCTCAACATTGACGGCGGTTCGTCCGATCTGGGTAAGCTTGCGCTTCTGCTCGACGAACTCATCGATTTCAAGCTGGGGGTGTTTGTGTTTGAAGTGTTGGGGGCTGATGTCCCCAAGAAGAGTTCGTACGTGCAATTCTTCTTTGACTCTCATGGTTACAGCGACTGGACGCTGCCTAAGCTTAGTAAAGCGCTGAAACGGAAGAAGCGGGGTAACGCTCCCGAAGGCGCTTTGGGTACTGGTGACGTGGTGATTACCGATTTGGACTGGTCGCAGTGTACTATCCGTATCGCTGCTAAAGACGATAACAATATTGCCGAGAAATGCGACTGTGAGACGCTGATCCCCGCCCTCCAATTGCTTAAGAACTCCTACGACCAACCGGAAACGTTACAGCTTTCGGGCTCTAACGGCCAGGGGACGGTCCAAGTACAATGTCAATGGATCCCCCTCGTTTATGAGAACGGGGTGCCGCCTCAGGACTCTAAGGATAACCAGGGTGAATTGACTATCCAAATCCTTAAGGGTAATGGGCTCCCTTCAGCTGACTCCAACGGCAAATCCGATCCGTTCGTCCAGCTTTACCTTGATCTGGATAAGAAGCACTTCTTTAAGACGCATACCAAGAAGCGGACGTTGGATCCCGTGTGGAACGAGACCACCACTGTTGAATTGGGTAACATGTACGATACCGAGATCCGCGTGATGTGTTGGGATTGGGATATGGCCGATGAAAACGATCTTTTGGGTACTGGTTTAATCAAATTGAGCGAAGCCAACTTCAAGGAGAACTCGCTGGTGGACGTGGAGACGCCCCTCGTCGGCGAATCGGGTGAGGACGCCGGTACCGTGTACTTTAAGCTTTCGTTTAAGCCGAAGAAGATTATCCAGGTGAGAGCCAATTCCGATACCACGATTGGTGACGCCTTTGTCGTGGCTAAAGGCGGGGCCACCGTGGTTAAAGGTGTGGGTAAAGGCGTTGGTTTTGTCGGTAAAAACGTCGGTAAAGGGGCCCTTTTGGGTCTTGGCGGCGGTGCTAAGATCCTTGGTGGTGGCTTTAAGGGGATTAAACACCTTGGCCACCACGATAAGAAGGACGCCGACGACTCGGGGTGACCGTGTAGTAATATTGTGTTTACCTGTATATGAAATAACAAACTTTTGCTTATATACCTCTTTAACTCACACAGAGTCGGTTTAACAAATATTGGATAGCACTACGGTTATCCAGTGTTATTCGTCGTCAATTAGAGCCAGCAAACAACAGTTACAAATACCGTTCAGATTGATATTTGAGTGTGGCTTCTAGTGCTTCCATAATAGAGCATATAGGCCGATTTTCTTTAAAACTTACATACCACCCGTACCAGCTTTTATTTGTCGTTAATTAGTTCTAGCATCAACGCCCAAGCGTCTGTTTTTCCTCATCCAATAACCATTTCGTTCTGGCAACGACGGTCCCATTAGACAAGGGATACTGCTATGAAAGTCATGGCATATTTTCATGGCATAAATCCAACGACGTAAAACTATCTAGGTTGTAATTACCTTATATTTTGTGGATAGCTTTGGGTCTCATTTACTTGTATTTACTTCGAAACAGACAGAGACAGCTTTAAATAGAGCATCTCATACCATTCTCAAGTGTTTACATTGAAATGTATATCCTATCAAGTGTCTTCGATCCCCAATAATTGTTGACTCCTTGTAACATGATATCCTACGCTGTAATTATAGTACTGTTGGTCACATGACCCAGAAGTTGATCTCAAATGATCGCGATGTCGCGCTACGCGCCATGGCGGGGCTTTATAACCAACCAGTGGTCGTCGATAACGGCCAGCTGGGTCTCCGCGCCGGCATCGCTGGCGGCGATATTCCCACCGCGTATGGTCCGCTGATGGTGGGGCGCCCCAAGTACGCCAAGATCATGGTGGGCGCCGACGACGGCGCCGCTGGCGACGGGGTCTACGTCGGCGCCCAGGCGCGGCGCCAGCGCGGGCTCCTTCGGCTCCTGGTGCCGATCGACCACGGCCAGGTGACAAATTGGGGCGACATGGCGCGGGTGTGGCACCAGTGTTTCAGTCAGCAGTTGAAGCTTGCGCTGATTAGTGATCACCCGGTGCTTATTACGGAATCCCCACAAAATCCGCGACGTAACCGCGAGCTTATCGCCGAAGAGTTGTTTGAACGGTTTGGTGCTCCAGGGGTATACGTGCTGACGCCGGCGCCGCTTGCGCTTTATGCGCTGGGACGTACTACTGGGGTCGTGGTTGATGTCGGTGAGGGTCAGCTGAGTGTGGTTTCAGTCTACGACGGGTTCGCCCTCCCCAATCTGACCAAAAGGATGGATGTGGCTGGATCTGCCGTCACCGCCCAATTATCACTGCTATTACACCTGGCTCTGGGGGTTAGGTTGTCACTGCTGGCGGAGATGGATGTGGTTCGGGAGATTAAGGAGTCAGTGGCCCTGGTCGCGCCCGCCGCAGGGGCACCGGAGTTGAAACAACGCACCACTGCCAATGAAGACACCTTAGTCTATACATTACCTGACGGACATAAACTCAGGGTGGGCAGTGAGCGGTTTCAGGCGGCGGAGATCATCTTCCGTCCCGATTTGGTGGGTGACGAACTGCCGGGGTTAGCGGCGATGGTCGATACCGCCATTGCCAAATGTGATTTAGATTTACGAGCGACACTTTGGCAAAGTATCCATTTACTGGGAGGTTCCACGTTAACTCCGGGGTTTGGCGACCGCTTACTAAGCGAGCTCCACCATTACCAAACAGAAACCGGCACCCAGACCAAAATTAAGCTTATGGCGCCGCCGGAACGGCTCTATTCGGTGTGGATTGGCGGGCTGATCCTCGCCAATTTGCTGAGTTTCCGCAAGATGTACGTGACTAAGGAAGAATACCGTGAATCGCCTCACCTCATCCACACCCGGTGTGCTTAGTCATCATAACGTCCTACAGTTATTAATAAAAGCGATCATTATCTATCCGTAAGTATCGTGAAAAAGGGCAAAGAAACAGCGGAATTACACTTCCGATTTTCTTTGTTATTACAATTCCTCGCCAAAGTACGCCGACAACGCCGTGCGCAGCGCCGCGAACGCCTCTTTAGCCCGCGCGGTGGCGTCGCCGACGAGGGCGAGGTAGTCGCCGTCGCTAAGATCGTCGCCGTCGCCGTCGCCGTCAGCGCTGGCACCCGCGGCACCCTGAGTGCCCAGGGCGCCATCGGCGCCATCAGCGCTATTCGCGCCGTCGCTGACGCTATTCGCACCACTAGTAGCGCTGGTGCCGTCGCCGGCGGCGCCATCGCCGTCTCCACTTTCGGGGGCAATCACTTTCCCTTGCACCACACGCGCGTGGTCGAAATTGTGCTTATTGCCGTAATTCTGGATGCGCTCACACTGGTGGGAGATTTTGACGAGGCCGAGCGCCGCCGCCAGCCCCTTGATGTAGTGGCCGAGTTTCAGCAACTCGTCGAGGCGCCCCTGTTTCAAGTTGGCATCGATCTCGACCAGTGTCTCCTCAAACTGAGTGACGAACTCCTGAAACAACAGGAGGGCCAACCCGTCCTCGTCCTCGTCCATGATCGCGATCAACTCGCTGAACACCAGCCAGTCCACGAGCCCCGTCTGCTGTAGCACTTCCTGAGGTGTAGCCGACATTATATCTTTCTGGTTTTGAAGTTTTTCTTTGTTGAAACGTATGAATAAGGGGGAAGGTTTCAGAATATAGGTTTCAAGTTTTGGCTTGGGATTGGTTCGGGATTGTTGGGGGTTTCCGGGTGGGACTTTGAAACGGTAGTG